TAAATTTCTCGTCCTATATGTAATAAATTTCTATGCTCAATTCTCTGGCTAGTCCACATCTTAAGGAATGCAAGTGCTTGGTTCTTGGTAAATTCCAAAGAAAGATCTGGGAGTCAGCTGCCTTGTAATTGTCTGGTTAGTATGGCATGATCTCAATAGGTTGGTGTTTGATTCGAATTAGCTAATAATCTGGAGTAACTTTCAATCCACTTGCTTCATGAGCTAGCTAGTTGTGGGGTTCAAAGCTGTGGATCCACCGTTTCCCTATAGTGGCTGTGATCTTTTTGGATGTACTGCTGGTGTATGGGGTTACTAGTCTTGTGGCCTGGTTATAGCTCTAACATTCTTTCTGCTCTTGTTTTCTGTTTTTCTTTTGGGAACCTTGCTTCTTGTCTTAATGTGGTTAATTATTTGTATTGGTCTAGGTTTTCCTTTTTCAGTTGCTTTACTCACCCTTCCTAATGGATAAAAGCTTTTGTACTTTCTTAGTTTTAATAAAATCCCAACCTTATTTATTGTTGAAAATTATTAGATTTTGTGAAAAAATAATTAAGTCAAACATGCACAATAATTAAGAACATAAAATAAATCAATAATCAGAACATAAGACTTCTTTTTTAATTTTTTTTTTTCATTCACTTGACCATGTTGTACCTAGACTACAATTTTGAAGAAGTTCTATATCTAACTACCATCTTCTTATGTCTAATCAATTGTAATTTTTTTTATGTACTGTTTATTCATTGATTCCTTAGTGAGTTTTTATCTTCAACCATCATGTAATGTCCAATGCATCAATAGAAATCAGATTCATGCATAAATTTGATACACATAATATCTTTAAATATTGTACAACTTGTAGACGTCTCTATACATACATTACTTACTTCTAAAAAACTAGTATAACTAGTATTTTCTTTTTTTGCTTTATCAACGTCTCCTTCTTTACACTCATTAAAGATTTTTTTTTTACAAAAAAGTTACATGATATAGAGCCATTAATTTAGCAACCCATTCAACATAAAAATCCGCAACATTACATCTATTCTCTCTATATGAGAGTACTGCCACATGTCAATTTGATGTTAATATGGTAGCGATGTTCTTATTACCTTTAACTTGATTCTTTCAATCTCTTAGCTCTTTTTTTTTTTTTAATTCTTTATAATTTCTCTTGATGTGACTCTCTCTTTCATAATTATAACATTTGAAACTACGATTGGACCGTTATCGGCATCTAAATTTGTTTTGCCTACTAACTTCTCTAATCATGCTTATCTTTTTATTTATTTTTTAATGACAAGAGCTTGTGCATCATACGCTATCACTTTGCTTGGTCTTGTTACTTAATTGAATAAGATATTTTTCACTATGGATAAAGACAAAACATCATTTAGAGTAGAATTATCAACTCGTTAAAATCAAAATCTCCTCACCGTTTGGCAAAGTTTTCAATAACAATAGTGTTTGGTCAATTATTATCTAGCACTATTTTCATTGTTATCGATCGATTGATTAAATTCTAAAAGTCATTTAAATCTTCAGCAATAGACCCTCAATCTTTGTATTTTAAATTTAGAAGCTTTCTAAGAAAAAAAGTTTTACTTTGTCCAATCTTCTTTTCATATATGTTAGTTAATTTTTTTCATAGTTCTTAGGCACTTGTCTCATTGAATACATGAAGAAATACACCATCGTTCACCTATTGTCGATAGCTTCAATAACTTTTGCTTGCTTTTTTATTTTCCTAAGTATTATCATTTTTGACAATTGGTTTGATTTTACCTAATTCAATCGGATCAAATAAATTATAGTATTAAATCTTCTGATCTAATAATTTGAAGCCATTAGTTTGACTATGGTTCCCGAATTATTTTTCTCGGTCTAATTTACACAAATGTTTCAACCAAAAACTTTGATACTATTGTTGAAGATTTAATCTCACATCGTACAAATTAGATTTTATGATAAAATAATCAAGGGAGATACACATAATATTAAAGCATAAAACAAATCAATAATAAAAACACAACCATAAGAACACCAAATTTATATATAAAAACTCTCTCTATCGTAAGGAGAAAAATCATGATACAACTCTAAAATAATCAACTATGATCAAGAAAGCGAGTAAAATCATTTAAGTTTTTCTATAAATTTGGAAAACAAAATATTGGTAATAATACAAGTTCTTCTCTAGTTAAATCTATTTCACTTAAATCTATAAATTTTTTATATTTCTACAAAATTCAATATTGTATGAGATCATTATCTTAAATACTGTAATTATCTCCTATTGTAGTAGCTAAAAGTTCAATGTTAAAAAGAGTTCCAAATAATTTGTGCCAAAAAGAAAAAAAAAACCTTACTTTCTTTACGTAACAACCAAAGAAAAAATAACATTTTTCTCCTCCTATTATTGCTCTGTCTCTCGACAACAATTAGACACAAAAAAGGCCCTTTTTTAAATAGTATTGTGTTTCGGCAAAGCAAAAATAAGATGGCAACTAATATCCTTTCTCTTTAATTAGTTCACCGCCACACTTAGCACACACAATCACGTTTGGTCCTTTATTTTCTTTTTCACCTTACTTCTTTTTTAATTTATTATTATTATTTTTTACAGATTATGTTAATGTCACTTATATGGGCTAAACTTATAGCATACGCCCAATATTTATTAAAAAAGGTTATTCACTAAAAGTGCCGCATCCTCTTGTAATCAATGCATTCGTGCCATTAAAAATAAATATGGAAATATTGTTGCACTTTCCAATGAATCTTTTTTTTATTATTAAGCTAAGGCAATTCATTAAACACCTTGGAGAGCTTAAAGCAACCAAGGAGAAGGTGAAGTATAGCAAGATAGAATCAAGAGCTAAATATATATTTTTTTGGTTCTAAAAAGATCAGATCAACAATATAAAAGGAGAAGTAAAAAAAAAAAAAAAAAAAGACATGAAATAGCTCCAAAAAAAGTTACTTGAATTAAGTTTTCACATATATAGATTAATTATTTGGACACAGTTTCGAATCTTATCTATTAAAAAAAAATTACCTGAAAATTACATAAACAATCCATTAAAAATAAAAAAAATTCTACTCTCCTTGAACGAAAGAAAAAACATCATTCAATCCCTATACATTAAGACAAATGTTCTCCTTTTGTCGTTTCGTTTTGCACTGGTCAGGGTTTTCTTGAATGCCTAGTCATTCTATCTTCTATGCATGGGTGATTTTCTTCATACAATAATAGTCGACTTAAAAAGAGAAAAGATAGCCGCGTCACCTTTTATCTTAATAATATTATTTCAAACTGTTAGAAAGTTAATAAAAAAATATTACGAAATTTTAACCAAAAACTATAAATTTTTATAGTAAACTAGTTCTTTAATTTGACATAGACTTATTAAGAAATTGAAAATATTATGCCAAATTCACTTTTTATCCTTTATTTTCATATAAAAAACGATAATTTATGTATCCGTCAATTAACATTAATTACTTAACTTTTTCTATTCTATTCTTCCGTCCACTCTCCATCTAAATTCATTAACAAAATCCATTAAACATCCACGTGACAACTTTTGGATTTAAAAATTAATCACATTTGTCTTAAAAATAAAAAAATAAATGATTAATGAAATGAATCACTTCTAAAATCGAACTTAAAAAAAAAATATTGATTAAAGTTAGAAGTTAAAGAAAAAAGGAAAATACAAAAAATTGAATCCCATTAGATTTGGATTATTAAAAAGTTGCATTTTTCAGGTTGTAATTTTGTTTTTTCACGATTAATTTTGCTTCTTTCATGTTTTTAAATTCTGGGGTTTCGATATAGATGTTAAGAAGACCTATTAACTACTTTGGATGGAGAGTTGACGGACGGACAGAATTGAAAACTTTTGTTGATGTTAAAGACAAAATCGATGGATCAGCACTAATAAGAACCATATGGATGAAAGGGATATTTAACTGGTTGACCCTATAATTATTTATTAGAAACCAAAAATTGATGCAAGAAATAATTGAATAAAATATTTTTATTAATTAAATTTTGACATTTATCCATTGTTCTTATATATATATATATATAATAACGTGTTAATTCATATATAATAGTTGAATTATTTCTTTTTATAATTAAGAACTTGCAGATTGACTCAAATCCATTAGGTTAGAGTTAAATGCCTACTAATCCGAATCCGAATACAACCCATCCCAATCCAATTTTCAGCTCTACTTATCAATCATACAATTTTTTTTTTCCTTTCATTACATTTTCTTTCTTGTGTCTTTTTGGTGAAAAGCATGTTATTCTGCTAACATGATGGGAAGCAGATCGATGTCTAGTTTACAATAAACCAATTAGTTAGCTCAAAACTAAAGCTACAAACCAGCCATTTCATTTGGGAATGGAAAAGGATTTTGAGTTTGGTTAGAAAGTTTGTATTCCTAATTACCAAATGCTTGCACATTAATTCTTTGCTTGAATAATGTATCCTTCATCACTTTTTTTTTCCATAGCACATATAATATATAGAAATAAATAAATAAATAATACTCTGTATCTTTTTTTTTCCATCTTCAAGATATTATATGTCAAAAAATTTAAATTAATTATTCGTTATTTAATCAAACGTATAAAACGAACATAATTATTTTAAATTCTTTTTATAATATATAAAGATTTGAAATTAAAACTACTTGATCAAACGATTAGGCTATCTGCACTCAATTCAACCCTATTGAGTAATACAAAGCATCTTTGTACATTATGTAATAAAAGCACACGCTACTCTTTTATCATTTATAGCCAACTATGAATGGGAATGTGGGACAAAATTTTAAAACAAAGTTGCAAAATTAATAAGCTGGGACCTAGCACAGCTTCATTTACTTTCCAATCTGAAACATCATTTACTAGCACCACGAAATGTATGAGCAAAACATTACTGCTATACTACCTTTGTTACCATCTCCCTTTCTCTGATCATCTCTTACACATTACCCCCCTTGAAATTCGTCGTATTCCACGGTGGCCCTCGGAAATTGTGCAACCGGGAGGATGTCGGGGTGGCCGGAACTGGGACCCACCAACTTGATTGTATATTTAGATTTCTATGCCCCATTTTTTTATGCCATGTCCCCATCCTGGCTAAGAACCGTTGGAGGCAAAACTTTGGTGCAGCTCCCCCTTACCACCCTCCATTAAATTCATTTGTTATTATCATTTAGGAAATCTTCTAGTATCTATCTCTAGAGCTATTGTAGTAAATGAAAGCAATGTTGTATCCCCGTCTATTACATGACAGCCGTTAAACTATGGGTCCTACAAAGAAATTGCAACTTGGGAAATTAAAAAGAACAATATTTTCTACGTACTACTACTACTACCAAAGAAAAAAAAACCAAAAAAACCAAAAAATAAAAATAAAAATGGTAGTACTATTATTTAATGCTAGCTCGTTGCAATCCTTACTCTTTCTAATTAATTTTAAATTATTTTTTCTTTCAAGAAAATTTATAATTTTTTTGACACTCAAGGCCAAGACTGATCTTTTTTTTTTTTTTTTTTTTTTTTTTTTGGCCGAGAGAGTCAACTAATAAGCAATGAAGGTGATGTTTTTGGCTATAAGGATATTGGTGGTGCCAAGTCAACCATAGGAATCACCTAGTGGAATTTATTGGCAAAATTGAAATTCCAACTATTATTTTTATTTCAAAATAGGGTAAAATGCCAAAAGGAAAATCAATATTTACTGGACAAGGAAAGATACTAGAAGGCTTGAAAAAAAGGCGAAGGACATATTTATCCTCTAACAATCCCACGAGTCTCAATTTTGAAACCACCATTAAAATGATATAAAAACAACATACTTTAAGACAAATTCGTCATTTTAAATGATTTTATTAAAGAATACAAAATTTTTAAAGTGAGGGTATATTGGGTAGTGTTCAATAGATAAGGAACCTAATTAGGAATTGTCTCGTTTGGAAATCGAATTGAGAATTCGATGATTATTATTAGGAAATTTATATTTTATTGGCATAAATTAATTCACTTATTTTATTTGGCTCATTGATAATATAAAATTATTTTTCAAAAATTTCACTTAACAAATTAAATTTTTAAAATTGAGGTAATCTTTTAACGTGAATGCAACCATTTCTAGCACATAAGCCAAATAATGTGCAGCCATTACGAGTGAGTATTAAAACCAGTTGCCATGGAAGGCCGCAAGTAACAGCACAAATTTTTAATGCTAAATAAACAAAGTTTAAATTCATCAGACACAACACTTCTTGTCACAGAAACAGCTCCTATAGTCATTTTTAAACTCACAAGTGACAAGATAGCTTTGGCCCTTTAGCTAGCTAGCCTCAAACCTACGTAGCAGACCGTCTTTGTATTAGCTTGCATGGTCGATTTAATAAAATGGGACAGAGTCATTTGCCCTGCCCTCCTTCTCTATGCCTCTCACCAGTATTTTTTGCATGGTTAAGTTAATAAAATGGACCATAAAGTTGTTCAATCAATACCTATTCCCTCCGTCTGAAATATGGAACATGCCCTCTTACACATTGGCCTATTAATCAGATGTTGTAAATGTGGAACAAAGATGCCCACATAGCTTGCCTCCAGCTTCAGTACAAAACAAAATTTAGAGAGCTTGAAAACTCTTCCATGAAAATGACCAATGGATATAAAGGAGGTTGGCCAACCGCATTTGTGATTGTTTGTGCTTAGGCCCACCCCATACTGCAGGAATGTCTGCAACATATGGGACCTTTATAACTCAAATCACAATTTATGTTTTCTCCTCCTTCTAATGTTTATCAAGAAAAATCTTAAAAAGGGACTGGCACTGGTATTGCAATCTAAGGAAAACTTGTAAAAGTCACCATTTGCTAAATACTTGTGGTAATGATGATAAGTATGATTAATGAGGATTTAAATAGCATATGCATGCTCCTTATACACAGGGAAGTTGAAGGAGAGGGAGTTGAATTTCTGGATCCATTTCCTCTTCAAAAATTAAAATAAAATAAAAATTCAATGTTTGTGCATTAAACAAAAATGCTTAAAACAAATACAAGTGGAAAAAAAGCGATTTTACCTACCCAGAAAAGATAATAGTGACGAGACTATATGCAATGATCCTGTGACTACAATAACACTAGGATGGTTACCCGCTCTTCTTCTAAGGATCTCATTTGCAGCCCTCATGGAGACCTCCGGTGATTTCTCAGTAGCTAATATGATTCTGTTTTCCTCTAACAATTCCTTGTTCTTCTCCATTCCATCATGAATAGTATCAATGCTCAATTCTTCAGAAGCTTGAATCCAGCAATCTCTTAACAACAAAGCTGAAGTTGTTCGAGATTTTGCCCCAGCAATGTCGGCTTCTGTTAGGAAGACAGCCTCTAATTGCAAACCTGGAAACGCAGGACAAAATCCTAGTTAGATCATTCCAAAGAATTTCATTCTTGCTCCTCTACGCCAGCATCAATCAACTTAAGAACATGTACTAAGCCCTGTTCTCCCAAATAGAGAATCTAAGATAGCAAACAGAAACAGTTTCTCCCATGCTTGTTTTTTTTAAAAAAAAGATGTCAAGTTAGGTTCATTATTTAGACTAAATGGTCCAAAACCTCTGAACTTTTGGTCATTTGAAAATCAGTCCCTTAATTTCTAATTTCAGGTTGGACCTCTCTCCAACTATTTTTCATTTGTAATTGGGTCATTTTGTTAGGTTTCCATCAATTCTAGCCGTGAAAGTACACACGACTTGCACATGGTTGACTTTTTAACTTTCCCAACAGCTAAAGATGTACCAAAACTTATGAATGATTTGCTTTCCCCTCCAAAACTTGTTTATTTCCTTCTAAAATGTTCTTAAATTGCTTACTTCTTTGCATTTAGGAGGAAAAAAACAAGTTTTGGAGGAAAAAGCAAAGCTTCTATAAGTTTTGAGGAATTGAACTTATACGTTAGAAACTTAACAAAAGGACCCAATTTCAAATAGTTGGAGGAAGGTCCAACCCGAAATTGAAAGTTGAGGGACAGATTCTCAAATGACTTAAAGTTCAGTTTAGGTTTGTACCGTTTAGCCCATTATTTATTATAACTTATCATTCAAGAAAACCTTTGACAACAAAGAATATCCTCAACTAGAATTGTATCCAGAACTTTTCAAGATTTAGCAACTCCCCCAAATCCCTAAGTACTCTGCTATGTAATTGTATGCCCTCCTTTTCCTAATGTTGTCCAGCTCCACATTGATCATACGGAGCAGATACCAACAAAACTAAAAAAACAAAGGACATTATACCTGAAAGAAATTCTCTCGCAAAAGCTAAATGGTCTTTGTCACTTGCCATTGCAACTACAAGAGCCACTCGTGCATCTGGAAATACCATCTGTACTGTGTCCACCAAAGCTTTAGCAGAGTCCTTAGTATGAGCTGAAAGAGCATTTACAATTGCAATTAATAGAAGAGTAGAACTCTGCAAAGAAATACCTCCCTGGAGCACACTCAACCAAAACAATGAAGAATGTATCACAAAACAATACCATTAAGAAGGCAAATAGGAGGCATGTTTACCAATGTGGAACATCAGAAGTAACAATGGCAGCATAAGCAACAATTAGCATTTAAAGCTGGTTAACATGAGAATTAACCTCCATCAAGCAGTATAGTTGCTCGAGGTAGTCCTAATACCTCGGCTTCTTTGGTTGATAGAAATTGACTTCTTCCAAGCAAGCATGTATTCTCTAAACCAGTCCTAATAGATCCATCTGAAATTCTCCACCCTGAAACGCATGTCAAAAGAAATAATGACTATTAGTACAAGTGAATAACAAATTTGACTCAACAAGCTACTAACCAATCATTTCGAACTGACAACTAATAGAGGGTGATTCACATACAAAGTAGCAGAAGTCCGAAACAACTAATGATAGAACTCCTCCAGCATATACATATTGGAAAAGATGTTGAGGAAAAAAAAAAGCTAGATCCCCTTAAACAGTCCTTGGTTTAGAAAGAAAGGAATGAGTGCAATGAGGAAAGGTATCAGACATGTGACTGAGATTGTTGGTAAGCATATTCCACGTCAGCACAAACTCATAGGCTAGTCCTCAACATAATACTACAGCCATTAAATTAAGTCTCGTTCAATATTGTTTAACACTAAAACAAACAGAGCATACACAAAAAGTAAGTACCGACCTTGATCACGAAGGGAGAGTGCCACACATGCTGCAGTTGATGCATTGTGAAGTTGGTGCCTTCCAAGCATTTGTAGCTTCACGTCTAATAACTCAATGAACTGCATTGATTTACAAGTTCATAGAAATTTAAAAAAAAAAAAATTACAATTTGAACAGGAACTAATTTGCAGATATGTTTTAAGGTAAATAAAGAGGTTCAAATTACAAGGAGACTAATGCTTCATGGGAATACCAGCGGAAAATCCCTCTCAACTTGTATAATAATATCACTCAATTGGCAAGGTCTGCCATCGAGTATGCTGAGGCCTTTAATCGTAGTTCTGATTCCAGAATCAGATGCTGACACCACAGGTGAACACATCACTGATGCTTTATCATGAAGTATACGCTCAAGATGTGGAAGAAAAGGTCCACCTAGAACTACCTGAGAATTTTAATCACTCAATAGTGTGAATGGTGTTTTTTACATGGCAAAACGTTAATGTAAATGGGAAAAACTGGGTACTCATGACTATGCAACAAAAAATTGAATTGGGATGAAAAAACTGCAGGATGCATCATCAGTTCTGTCCCACTACTCTTTAAAGACCTAAAAGATATTGTTAAATTCTTGTGTGCTAAGATGCCAGTACTACTCCATTCACTTTAAGACAATGCAATGTGCTCATTTTGTGCATCTGTTTAGATGGAGGGGTATCCTAGAATCTTCAGGGATCACTTCTCATCGAGGCAATTGTTGTGGGATATGATAGCATTTCCCACTTCCATCTAGTGTGCTGCCTCCAGGTTTCTTAGAGGTGTTTCCTAGGTTGATATTCAGAAGGCTTGTGGTACTTATTTATCTAAAGAGTTGGTTCTTTTCCTTTTTCATTTTGGAGATGTCTGATTCATACATTCTGTTTTCTCTGATAATACCTTCTCCTTCAATCCAATAGAAAATATTACAAGTGATAGATGGCCTTGAATCATGTATGTCTCAATAAGCTTTTGCCGATTAACTATTCACCACTTAACTCATTAATAGCCACACGGGAAACATTTATCTATCGGAAAAGATTACAATGCCCCAATGAAAGACAAGTAAAGCCAGCTCCAGGAAAGTATCAATGGCATTTGGACAAAAGACAAACTGGTTAATAATCCACCTCAACAGCAGTGATGGCTGTTATATTCCAATCAAGTTTTACTAGCACCAATCCAAACAGGACATGCTGTGTGACTAAATCAAAGCCTTATGAAATAGGCACACACAAACACAGATGTTGCAGAGAATGATAACTTTGGTGGTGAAAGCATCGATACAATATCCAGTGGGATTATGGTGTAGATTACTTGACTTTAGTTATTTTTAAAAAATGCAGTTCATATTATCATTTACAAACAGAGGAAAAAAAAATAATAGTTAAAGGAGAATCACCTAACTGGGCGACTATTCTTAATGATTCCTGACTTTGCCACTGCAATACTTTCTAAAGAACCCCCAAGTGCTGCCAAGTGTTCCTCACCAATTGTTGTTATAACAGAAGCAGCAAGTTCAGAACTACAAAGGATATTTGTTGCATCTCTTGCACCCCCTAGCCCAGCCTGTTACATTGATATATATATATATATATATATATATAGACTAGATACCATGAGAAGAAATAAGACAGCTAGATAGCAATTCAAAATTCATGGAAAAAAAAAAAAAAACATAGATGCACATATTTAGCGTATGAAGAGGCAAAATCACACTGCCAAAGATTAAACAAAATTGCACATACAAATTTTGGAAAAAATCAACAAGTTATAACTAGAAGGAAAAAAATGGATAACCTCAATGACCGCAATGTCAACTTTCTCTTCTGCCATTAAGGTGAATGCTGTAGCAGTAAGGACCTGAAAAGCGTTCATTGCTGAGTGCCAACAGGGGAAGAAAAACAATTTAGAGAAAAAGAATATGAGCAGAAGGAAAAGATTAAAACAGCAGAGTTTAACATGAAGAGGCTTCATCAAACATAAGGTAGCATTGAAATCAATAATGGAAAAATTTATGAATAAGCAAGGTCCACACACATCCTGTGCAATTTACACCCAATATATGATCAATGTGGCAAGATCAAATTTTAACTATGAAACTTCAAACAGAGAAATTTGTACGTATCGTTCTGACAACCAAACTACAAATTATAACTTTCACAGTTAAAAAAAAAAAAAAAATCATTAATGACAAAACAGAACAAGGTTAGACAAAGGATAAAAAGGTATCCTCCATGAGAGATTAGAAAGGCAAAGAATCAGAAAGGGCCTTCAAATCCCATAGAATATAAGCTAAAGAACCCTCCCATCTCCTCCAAATGCGCTGATGCAGCTTATTTAAAGCTGCTACAATAGAGATTAATTTCTTCAGAATTTTAAAATGCAGAGTTCCATCAAATCTGGCAGTCCTTTCTCTCCCAAAATGCACTAGCTGGATAGAAACCAACTCCACTCGACTTGGGATCAATCTAGTGGTCACCTCCACTATCAAAAGGTCTTCCTCATACCCCAGAACTCAAGAAACAAGAACAAATCATCTACATAAACTAATAAGAAATCTACCACATATTAACCTAAGCTTTTATGAGGTAATATAGACTCCATGTGCCTCTACCAAAGAGAGAGAGAGGTTATGATCAACATGATTTCTCCAAATTACTCCTATTAGCAATTTAATTTCTAAACCACTTTTCTTGCGTTTTCTTTTCTTCATCAACAAATTTTACACGATGAAACGACAAATAAGAATGCTATAGTCAGTCAATACCTCAAAATGAGTCAGAGACCCATTTTCTAATTGAATTGCCTCGTCAAGTTTTGGTTGGATCATATGAAACAGTTTGTTCAATGTCTTCGTTGATACTGGATTGCCTGATTGCCCTAATGAAATCCTTTCCCTTATACTCATGATATGTGGACTGCTCAAAAAAACACAATGATTGTTGAAAGTCTAAAGAACAGCAGCAGCAGCAGTAACTATCACCAGTACATAAGTGTCACAAACATACCTAGTATAACAACCAACAGAATACCCTTCTGCCCTTAAAATATTTGACAGAAATGCAGCTGTTGATCCTTTCCCTTTTGTCCCAGCAACATGCACTGCCTGCAAACAATCAAGTTTCACACTCAATACTCTATCGTAACAAAAGAATTGAAGAAAACCCAGATATAAAAACCAATTATTAAGACAAGTTTCATGGTAATTACATTCAATGCTTAAAAGAAAACAACTTACAACATTAAAAGAAACCCGAAATGAGAAAAAGAGAAAAGCTTGCACCTTGAATTTGGACTGTGGGTTACCAAGCCGGTCCATGAGCCTCCGCATCCGACCCAGATCGAGTCCATCATCTGAATCAGTGCCAGCATCCTTAGGCACACCTAATTTCTCATAGTTTTTGAGAGAATCCAAGTAATCAATGAACTCTTTTGGCTCTGGTTCCTCTGTGTATTTACCAAAGAACAATCTCGTCATAGTGAGAGAATGAATTGTGGGTTTTTTAAGATGGTTTCGTTTTGGGGTTTCCTTGAGAATGGGCAAAAATCTCATCATTTTGGATTTATTCTGTTTGTTTGTCGGGAAAATGTGAAGGAAATGTGAAGTTAAGCACGGACTGGACTGAAAATTTTAAAGTTGTTGCCGTGTTGAAATTTTAATTTGAACCATTATGGTGTCACGGGGTGTTTTTTTTTTTTTTCTCCTCTCAAAGAGTCACGTGCGTGTTAACAGTGGGGTAAAGTACATTTTAGGCCCTATTGATTGAGAAATGCTCCTTTTTAGTTTTTATAGTATTACATTCTGCAATATTAATCCTATAAGTAGTTATTATTTTATTAATTTAATAGTATCCGCCATTAGGTGCCGCATTAAGATCATGATTTAATGGCTCAGAATCTTTTTAAAAGTATTTCTTAGTATTTATTATTTAATTAATTATGTTCAAAATTCATTTTACTTAAAAAAATATGTGCTTTCATTTATATATTTATTCATTAAGTGAGTTTAATTTTTAAGTAAGTAAATTTTTAAAAGGTAAGTAGTACTTTAATCGCTTGATATTTGCAAAGAATGTGTAAATGATTGGATTTCGATTTTGAGTTTTTTAATCTTTCATTTGCATCTATCTTGTGATTGAACGCTTGATTTACTAAAATAAATTAGTTTGAGTTTGCTCTTGAAATTATATTTGAAAAAGCAAAAAGAAATTTTGAAGAAAATGTTGTTAGACCACCTAATCCACCCAACCCCTTCTCAAGTGATGTTAAATATAGGTAATAGAATTACCAAATTTTAGGTTTTCTCGGTTTTATTTTTATTTTTTTACGTAGCTTTATTATTATTATTACTATTATTTGTTATGAAAAATATAAATAATAGAAGAATTTAAATGGAAGGATGATAAGAAAAAAGAATTCACTATAAAGTGAATACAAATGATAAAAACTTCAAATTGTTCTCTTAATCTCTCTAAAAAAAATTTGTACATCAACTAATGAACAATAAAGCCTATTTATAGGCTTCAAAATTGAGATAAGAATTGGAAGGGACTATGAATAATTAAAAGTATATCAATTGTATCACCCTTTCAATTTCTTATATTGAATAGTGAATTGAATCACATTAAGGATCATGAGTAGTTAGGACGTGAAAAGTAGATGGACATTTATTATTTCATAACATTCCCCATTCAATATTCATTGTACAAGGAACATGCCTCTTTAAAACCTTACTAGGAAAAAACTTGATGGGAAAAAATCCTACCGAAGGAAGAAGAGTATTGTATTCCTTGCACATATTAATCTTCATTTTGGTCTCCCCTGTTGAAGACATTACTAAAGATCTCTAAGACGACGCATTCCAATCTTGTGAATCATCTTTTCAAAAGTTGTGGTAGGCAATGCCTTAGTAAATAAATCTGTTGGATTGTCACTTGATCGAATTTGTTGAACATTAATATCACCATTTCGTTGAAGATCATGTATGAAAAATAATTTTAGTGATATATGCTTCGTTCTATCATTTTTTTATGCATCCCTCCTTTAATTGAGTTATGCAAGCGAGTATTATCTTCATACAAGATCGTTGGAACTTTCTTGCTAGTGGATAAATCGTATGCCTCTCGAATATGATAGGTCATTGATCTTAATCAAATATATTATTGACTTGCCTAATGAATTGGTAGTATTTACGCATGGTTTAAAAATATGACAGCTATAGTTTACTTCATAGAACGTCATGATATAATCTCGCATCTCCATATATAAATACATAACCGAGTTTGAGATCGAGCTTTGTATGGATCGGATAAATAACCCGCATCCGCATAATCAATTAATTCATATTTTGATTTGTTAGAGTAATATAAGCCCATATCAATTATTCCTCGAATATAATGTAGTATATATTTAACTTTATTTCAATGTCTCCGTATTGAAACAAAACTATGACTTACTAATAAATTTATAGAAAAGACTATATCGAGTCGAGTATTATTAGTAAGATATATCAATGCACCGAGTGGCACTAAGATATGATATTTTAAGACCAAGTAGCTCTTTGTTATCTTCTCGAGGTCGAAAAGGGTCTTTTTGGATATCAAGTGAATGAACTACGATTGAGATAACATATTTTTTTCTAAGGTATTCACATCAAATTCTCTTTTTAGATAACTTTTGACCTTTGAAATCTCTTCGGGAGTTTCAATAATATTTCAAGTCATTAACATATACAACAATTCCTTTTTCAAATAAAAATATATAAACAAACAGGATTATTTTTTTTATAACTTTCTTTCAATAAATAATTATTGAAGTGATTATATCACATACACACGGGTTAGTAATAAATAATATATATATAAATAAAATATAAAAAATATAATATAAATTAAATATTTAAAAATTAAAATAATAAAACGAATACTAAAATAATTCTAATAGAGATCTATATAATTTAATCGAATTCTTTTCTTGATAATATGTATTATCGCTTCAGCATGTTAAGTCCTTCCGTAACTTTCATACCGATATCATTTCAAATGCACAAATAAACTCGTGATGACATTCATTAAATGCATATATATGAATGTTTTTCATATATTTTACCGAGCTAATGAGATAACAAAAGACAATTATATCCATTATAGGAAAATATGTCTCATCGTAGTCAATGTTAGTTCTTTACGAAAACTCTTATGTTAAAAGTTTTGCTTTGTATCTTATAGTCTTATTTATCTTATTTTGTTTTCGCATAAATACATATTTGTATCCCATTAGCTTAACATCTTCGGGTGTTTTAGTTATGAGTTAAAAAAACTACTCTTTTGGAAGAAAATATAATTCTATCTGGATTACTCTTTTCATTTAGGTCGATCGTCTTTATGTTGACATTCTTCAATAAATTTTTGACTCAAGATTTTTATTTTCATTCAAGATATCAATTGCAACATTATATGCAAAAAATCTTATCAATAAATATTTCTTTTCGGTCCTATTTTCTCCTCGTATTGAAATAATTTATCAAACTCTCTTGATTTTTTCGAGCATTTGGACTTCTTCCAAAAGCCTATTATCGAAATATCTTGGATTGTTTTGTAAATATTTTCATCTTGTCCTTTTCTTTGGAAGATTTTTTATCTTTAGAACCGATTGATCTTTCACGCTTCGGGCGTGTTTTAGATTCATTAGCTATAACATGGATAGATCGTCCTTCTAGGACATTAATTCTAATAGAAGCATCCTCAACGAGGACATGTATTTTAGTTTTTTATTTAGGATCTCGGAATGCATCTAGCGAGTTGATTTGTAATACCTTGTAAATGAATCATCTTTTGAACTTCTAGTTCACATTATTTTGTACGAGATTCAATATGATATAAAGATATAGTACTTCATATAATCTTTTTTTCAACATTTTTAACTCGCTTATTTTGCTTATTCTCTCCCTCTAATATTGAAAAAACTACTTTATCAAAATGATAGTCGATAAATCAAGCTATAAAAATATCTCTTGTTCATGAATCAAGAGATTGAATTATCGAAGAGGATTTAAATCCAATATATGTTTTCAATCTCCTTTAAGTGCCCATTTTATTTCGTTATGGAGGAGTAATATGGACATACTGCAATGCCAAAAATTCTTAAATAAAAAATATTTAGCTTATGGCCATAAATCAATTGAAGATGAGAGAATTTTTAATAAGTTATGGGTCCGATACAAATAAGTGTTGCTTGCATGTAAGATTGCATATTTCTAGACATAAACAGAGAGTTTTATTTTTTAAACTAATGATTTTTGTTAAACCTTTCGAGTATGAACATGAGCAACATGCTATTTAACCTTTATTCTAATAGCCAATTAATAATAATTTAATGCTTGAGAAATAAATTCACTAACATGATTAAGGTGACTTGCTTTAATGGCATAATTTGAAAATTATGCTTGAAATCAAATTATTTACTAGCAATCTCGAAAACGTCGGGTTTCGAGTAAATAATAAGCATATATGTGACCATCTTGTGGATGCATTTATTAAAATTATAAAATATTTAAATGGTCCACGTGGTGGATGAATTGATCCATATATATCACCTTGAATATATTTTAAAAATACTAAAAATTTAATCTCAATTTTACTTGGTGATAGCTTGATCATTAATTTATCTTGACAACATGCGAGAACATGAAAAATCATTAAATTAAAAAATCTTCTAGCTCTTCAATAGATGTTCATATGAATTTTTAATAATTTTTCGTATCAAGAAAGACCCAAGATGGCACAACTAGTCATGTCACATAATAAAAGTATTTGAATTAGTAAACTTCGGTTTACTATAGCATTTATTTTAATCATTCTAGTATTTATAATAAAGACTAGAAAAGAAAATGGATAAATTTTTCAATACATATTTTCTACCTAGTATAATGATTAGAATATATAAGTATTCACATTTGCTATCTTGATATGATATCAATTTAGATGAATATCTTTGAAACCTAATAAATTTCTATGAGACTTTCAAAAGAATTGTATATCATTTATAATAAATTTATCTTTTCGAGATAATAATATATTTGCTCTTCCGGAGTTTTTAAATTATATCACTTCAAGTAATAATATATTGACTATTCTAAAGCCCTTAAAGGTTGTCTTTTGAAGTAATAATATATTCACTCTTTTAGAGCTTCAAAAATTTATCTCTTTAGGTCATATATAATTGCTTTTCTAGAGTCTTCAAAATTTATCTCTTTAGATAATAATATAATCGCTCTTCTAGAGCTTTCTATTAGATTGATATTATCATATATAATATTAACATAAAATAAATAATCAAATAAATCAATACAAAATAAATAAATAAACATATTATTCATAAACACAAACAAATAAATAAATAGTAAAATAAATTTGTAACCATCACCGTACGATATAAATTATAAGAAATATAAAATATTTTATTTATAAATAGAAAAACTAACAAGTGGTTAATTTTAATGACTATTATTTTGATATATAAAAATAACCTTCATATTTTACTCTTTATTTTTCAATAAGGCTTGACAAGGCTCAATGAGGTGCTTTGATGTACGGTAAGTACATGACCAATATTCATTCATTCCATATCTATAATATTTATTTTTCAGAATACCGACTTTATCTATTTTTATTCTTTTTTTCATAGTTATCTACTTCGGTGGTGAGATATAATATTATGATCATCACGATTATAATGATAATTATTTCGACCTCGTCCATGTCTATGACCATATCTTCATCCATGTCTAAAATTATTATAAATTATCACGAGTCACTTCATGGAATGAAGTAGATCCAACTTGGATAAGATTTATTCTTTTTCATTAATGACTTTTCATTTTATTTAGCCATTAACAAGTATAAAATTAATTCAAAATATTTCTTAAACTATTTTTATCGATATGCTATTACATGAGCATATTCAATACGTAAAAAATAGAGAATATTTTTTTCAAAATCAAGCACTCATAATCAATAATTTTTATTCGAAACGATGAAGAGCCACAAAATCAAGTTTATGAGGTTTAATATGATAAAAATTCTATAATATAATATATAATAATAAAATTTAAATAAAAAACATAATAATAAAATTTAAACTTTTCAAATAATATATATTATATTATTAGATTCTATATATTAAATTATTAAAAAATTTTAAATGTATATTCTATACATCATTATATTTAAAGTACATGATAAATCGGATACATACCTCTTGATAATATAAATAATTTAGATATTTTGGTAGGACACTTGTGTAGAAGAAATCCAATGGTTGAAACAATTGATTAAGTTTTTTGGTAAATACATACCTTATGATCTATTGTCTCGATTGATCGAGCTTACATGTTGATAATGTGTTATGAAAAAATAAAAATAATAAGAGAATTTAAATGGAAGGATGACAAGAAAAAGAATTCACTATAAAGTGAATACAAGTGATAAAAACTTCAAATTTTTCTCTTAATCTCTCTAAAAAAACTTTTACATCAACTAATGAACAATTAAGCCTATTTATAGGTTTCAAAATTGAGATGAGAATTGAAAGGGAATATGAATAATTAAAAGTACATCAATTGCATCACTCTTTCAATTTCTCATATTGAATGGTGAATTGAATCACCTTAAGGATCATGAGTAGTGGGGATATGAAAAGTAGATGGACATTCATTGTTTCATAACATTATTATTATTATTTTTATAATTTTCAAAGGAAGTTATTTTAGAATTTGAAATTATAAAGGTTTATGTAATTTATAAATATATTGAATAAATTCATATTTACTACTTAGCCATGAAAAAATTAGTGGGATAGGAAACGAATTTATGGAGTGAAAAACATTACCTAAAATTTAAATCTATATTAATGGAAATGAAATACTTCTAAAAGTCTAAAACTATAGGGGCTAAAATATACTTTGTCATATGCGTAACGCTAAAAACCAAACGGTTCATCTGTCCAAATGCTGACGTTTTATTAGTTGACCATTTCGGAATGAGTATTTTGATCGATGTATGTGTACACGTGGCGTATCTAGAAAGATTCCTTTAACGTCACCCGAACTGTTCAGTTATAATTTGTTGTCTTGTCTAACACACTGTCCACTCTCAAACAGTCTATTAAAGGACAAACCCTAGAGAGAGAGAGAGACAACCCTCCAAGATTCAAGCTTTCCAAGTATTAACAACTTCTTTTTGTGGTAAGTTAATATATTTTTCATGGGTTTTCTTTAGATTCTCCTGTTATTTGGTTTTTGGTAATAAAATTGTTTCTTTTTTAAAATTTTCTTTCATTGTTGTTAGTTTTAGGGAGTTGTGACATTTTGTGAAAATTTTGAATGCAGGGTGATTTGAAATGGGCTCATTGGGACAATTGGAAAAATACAATCTTGAATCTGAATTTTGAGTGTTTGACTCTTGTTTTTAGACATGGAGGTGAGCACAGAGGAAGCGGAAACCAAAGACTTTAAGAGTTGTAAGTGTGGTGAATTTGAGAAGTGGATAGTAGAATTAGAATTGGAGATTGAAAAGAGAAAGAGTGAGTATCAAGAACTTGAAGCTAAGTTTAAGGAACTGGGAGAGGCAAAGAATGGTCTTGAAAATGAAGTAAAGGGTTTGAGGGCAAAGAATGGTAAGGTCAAAGAGGCGAATGGGGTAGTTCATTTGACAGTGCAGGAAGAGGAAGATCAGGTGATGCAGTTAATGATTGAGAACAAAGTTTTGGAATGTGAGAAGAAAACCGCTGAAAGAGAAGTTGAAGTCTGGAAACAAAAATACAAGGAATTGGAGTTGTATGTTTCGAAGCTGGATGATTGTGTGGTATCGAAAGGCGGGGAGCGAGAATTGAATCAAGTGATTAGAGGTAAAGATGGTGCAGACCCTACTTGTAATACTCCAGGTAAAGGTTTTTATCATTGACATTGTTGATTTGCATTAGTGAGGATGAAACAAATTGCATTGATTTTATTTTTTCCCTGTTTACTGCTATGGTTCGCATCTATCAATCATTGTTCTTGTAAGTATGGAATGGATTAACTGGGTCATAGCCTCTGTTACCCGGGGATTGGATGATTTTCTTTTATCCATGCGGTTTATATAGAGACTGAGGGTTTAATAATGCTGCTGCTTTTGTTGTCAATTGCTTGTGGAACTATGTTTTATTTCGGCTGATTGAATTGATATGCTTTTTTTTTAAAAAAAAGATAAAATCCAGATCGTTTAAGTATTTAATGAATGTATTTGGCTATGTTTTGGAGGAATTTTGCTTTAGGTTGTATGTATACGCAATATGGCCGTGAGTCAGTTTCCATTGTAAGAATTTTTATCAGACATGAATAGACTGTGTCTGTGCCATCGCAGATCACTTTTTTCAGGATTTATCATAGAAATTCTTGATTCACTTCGATTTGGGATTTTGTATTCTGCTACTCCCAGAATGTATCAATTTGCTTCTTATTAATTATTTGTGAAGTTTTTCATTCGCATACTAGAATACAGCTTTTCTTTTTTGAAAAAATAAAAAATTCTGTCCTGTTCCTTGATTAAATAGAAAAAGCTGCTATATTTAATCATTTGATTGTTTATTTCTTGTATTGAAGTTTTCACTAAACTTTCTTTTTGTTGAGGCAGGCACACCTTTCACTGACATTATGTGTAACCACACTGTTGGTGGGAAGCTTGGTATCTATCTGGATTCTGAAGGGAAATCTGGTAGACAAGTTAGGAAGAATTTATCATTTGAAGAAGGTGAAAGTCCCAGCAAGAAGATGGCTCCATCAACCCCAGGTTATGTTCGTCCTGTGGGTCCAAATGTTATCAACATTTGTGACAGTGACGATGAATCTGATATCAGTGGCATTCAAATGGTTACTCCTGATGACCAGGTAAACGGAAAGGGCAATGTAATGTTTCATTCATTAGAGGGAACTCCAGATAGTGAAAATCAAAAGATTGCTGAGATCATTTTAAAGGGGGCAGTTTGCAGCCAGATTTGTGAAGAAGATATGGATGCCTGCAATAATAATGTTCCACGTGTTTCTACTCCCAAAAGAAAAAGAGCTGCTAACATTGTTGCCAGTGATACTGAGAGTGATGAAGATGACAATGTTCCAATATCTAAACTAAAGAAAATGCATCTTCAGGAATCAATTCCTCATGAAGCAAGTTTCGATAGTGTGAGTCTTATGAGTGACGATTTTAAAGGTCCTGTAACTCGTTCAAGGCAGCGTTTGGCGACATTGAGGCAACATGAAAGAAAAGTTAAGGCAAGGAGCTCTTCAACTAAGACCTCTGCAACCAACTACCAACGAGGAATTCCTACTACAGATGATGTTGAAGATAGTGAAGAATCTGATGACACTGGATCACACAGTGAAGGTGAGAGCTTAGATGGTTTTATTGTGAACGACACCCATGTATCTGATGCTGATGATACTTCAAGTCAGTCAGAAGAGAAATCAGATGGTGGCAATGATGCTTTCAGTCAGCCAGAAGATGAAGGTGATGATGGTTCTAGTCTGTCAGGAGATGAATCTGATGGTGATACGGACCTTGGTAAGATTTTGTCTAGATTTCAAAGGAGCAAGGATCATAAGTTCAAGTGGGAGTTTGAGGGAGATATGCTCGCTGACTTTGGTAAAGATCCTGAACTGTGTATGAAAGCTGTGTGTGCTCTCTATCGGCAGCAAACTGCTGAGGAAAAAATTAGCAAGGAAACATTGCATGACAACGGTCGGGGATTTAGCAAATTTGATGCTCAGAGGTACAAAAATAGATTCTTCATGATGTTTTTTATATTGGGCAACAGCAATTTGAAAACTCACTTATGGAAGTCTTTCCACTTGATTTATAAGCCCATGCACATATCATGTCATAGCATCTTCTTCAATATTTATTCATTCTGCAAGTTTTCTTATTCATTGACCATTGGAATTTTTTTTCCCTATCCTTCTGTTTTATCAACTTAAAGTTGGCAATATGATGAAGACTCATCTCACATTCCTTAGCATTTCCTTACTTTACTGTTCCTTTTAATTGAGATTATTGCTCTATAATTTTCCCTTCTGCTTTCAGCCTCAATGAGCTGATAAACATTCGATGCTCCATAATTATACACATTCTCTCAGACTTTAGGTTTCTTTAGATGCATTAGTAAAAGTTCCTTCGAATTTGGATTATTCTGCTAATCCTGTTGAGAAATCTTGTAGGGGCAGTAAGTTGGCTGAGTTTCTCATTGATGGAGATCCCTCTGGGGATCTAAAGAAATCTGTCCAGGAGTTGCAAGAACACAACTCGAATGGGGTTAAACTGTGCCAAAAATTGGCTACTCACTACTCTAAGCAATTGTTTCAGATCTACAAGAACAAAGAGGATCCTCTTTTCCTCCCTCGTGATCAGGTGAGTCAATGAAACTGGTAGAAACAGAACTCACATAGATGATAGACCTGACATAAGTAAATTACAAAGAATGGTATTTTCTTGTCTTCCCATCGTCTGCTAGCAAGTTAGTCCTTCTGGTTTTTGTAAAATGTAAATATGAAGGTTCAATCCTTCATAGATTTGTATCTGTTATATATGTTCATATTTAGTCCTAATTAAATAGGTTTGAGTCTTCAGACTGTGTGCAGGAGAATGTTTTAGGTATCACCCTGTCGCATTAATCATTTGTATTATAATTCCCCATGAACTTTCAAACCTCTTGATGATATGGGTTTCAGTTCTGTTATTGAGGGAGTTTCCAAATGTTTGTTAGGGATAATGGCCAAGAACAATCTTCTCTTTCAAACACTTTAAATCATTTCCAGCAGGCCATTTTTTTAGAGTAGATACGAGAAGGAGAAAAAAGGGGGCAAAATTGTTGGTGAAGTTGCTCAGTCCTGCTGCTTTTAAAATCAGAACTGACTACTAACTGTTAGGATACAATGGAACAAGGCCTTCATTATGCTTACAAAGACTATTATAATGTTGGTTCTAAAATTACTAGACCATCAAGCCTTGGCTCGCTAAAACCATAGACTTGAAAATAAATTGCTCAAAGCCAAGGTGGACGACTTTATCAGGTGTGTGGTCGTTTCTGCTTGACTTGAAAAGGATGTGTTAAACCGGGCTAGAAAAGCTTAAGAAAGTATGGGGTCTTTCCAAGTTTTGGGCAGAATTCCAACCAAAAAAAAAAAAAAGATAAGGACAAAGCGTTCTGATGTTCACGTGCTTCATTTACATAGCATGGGAGACAGCATTTCTCCAAGTGAGCACATGCAAGGTGACTTCCCATTCTCTGGATTACGGATCATGGTTCCAGCCCATCATGTCACGGACAGGTGGCTGAAAGAATTGGAAAAAGACAACGTGTTAGGTGTCCTCACGCTGAAATTAGGTATGGTTTTGTTAGAACAAGATGCGTTGGACCAAGAAAATGCTATTCAACTTGACTCCAAATTTTACTTAGTGAACGCTGCACTAGTTTGTTCACAGAACCATGTCACCCTCATGAACTCCCCTACAAAAGGCCACCTCCATAGTTCATTGTCTGCAGAAGAAAGAGAGAGCATGGAATCAGTCACTTTTTGGGCAGGAGGGAGAGTGAAGGAACAGCAAGAGAAGTGTGGAGGGTTTCAGATGCCCTTGCACTACCCTAGGTACTCAAGATCTGAGTACGAGACAATGCCTGAGTGGCAGCTGGATCGCTTGCTCACGGAATATGGACTTCCAGTGGTTGGAAGCGTTGAGCAGAAGAGGAAGTTTTCCATAGGAGCTTTTCTTTGGCCTCGCTAGAGATTATATATTTCAAGAAGCAAATCAAGATTATATGAGCTATATGGATCATGTATGTCTTAAACAGTGCAAGGTCTTAGCCCTTGTGAGGTGTTGTTTAGGTTTTGTAAAACATGGGTTTGGATCGACTTTGGTACCATACCATGCATGTTGTAAGATAAATCTCCTTTCTGTGTCTTTAAGCTATATTAAGATTTAGTTAAGATGATAATTATCGTAAATCTTCCTGTTCAAAATCATTGCAAAACCATCTTGGTTTGGTGGTGGACTTCTTCTTCTTCTTTTATTTTTTAATATTTTTTGGTGCAAAATGGATAGATAGGGGTGGCACCCTATGGACCCACCATGGGGCATGGCCCAAAACACAGTGAGTTGTTCCTCTAACGTTGAGAGCCCAACATAGAAACAACCACTTCAATAATTATGGAAGTTGGTTACCTGATTAATGATTTTTGTTCGTGCCCACTGTGAATCATAAAAGGATTGCTGTTATTTAACAAATACTTATTAACAAAAGATAATGTACTACTAACAAGTTATTGGCCTAGCGATAAACGAGTTAATTATCAAATGAATTTTTTGTTGAATTTTGAAATCTTATTTATTAAAAGAAATTAAATCTCGTCACTTTTGTTCTAAACATGATTAATTTTATATCAAATGTGAAATGAAAATACTTGAAAAAAAAAAAAAGGACAGTGTACCATGCTGAAGAAGAGGAGACACAGCTGCAAAGAAAAAAAAAAAAAAAGGCTAAAGTTGCCCTGTGTCAAAATATCAGCCAAAATCAACAGAGCCTTTATTATCTATAAATTCTAACCCGATTTTACATTTTTCTTTTATTTGAATAATGCTAGGGTATCTATTATTTTTTTTTTTTGGAAAAATTTTTATAAATAAATAATAATAAACCAATAATCAACAACAGTGTCATTTAGTAAAAAAGATTAATCTCTAGGATTATTGTTTTTGTTTTTAAATGGAAGGCTTGATGCACGAGTAAACAAACACCAAAGGATGAGTGGTTTAGGTTTTGAATGTGAAAGACTTTTAATTTTCCACAATCTAGAATGGAACCATGCAGGAGAAAACACTTGGAACAATGAGTTAGTAATTATCAGTCTTCCTCAACAAAGAAATTTAAAATCTTATTGCTTTTTCAAACCATTTGTTAGCTTTTCTAGGAGGAGAATTTTAATTTGGGACCTTCTAGACGGGACTGCCATTAAGTTATTCTTGGACACCACTGTTTAGGGTTGGAATTTTCTAATTGGAACAAAGTTTGTCTGTCTTTGATCTGCCCGTGATCATCCAGTAAAGATGAGAAACTACTCTAACGTTAGGCTGTCAAATTGATCCGGATAATTGGTTATAAAGTATTCTAAACTATTGATCGATAAAAAAAAAAAAATTGTTTTTTTCATTTGAGTCTCCAACTTGTTTTTTTATATGTAATTAAGTTCTTTTATTTCATTGATCAATCTCATGTTATATTAGAAATACGTAGAAGACACATAAAATCAAAAAACAAAAACACGTGCTTCGTATGTTAAGATTTTTTGGACATGTGTCGTTATTATGATTGTTCCATGTATCTTTTATGTCGTTTGAAATTAATTAACGAATAAAAAACTTAATTGCAAAAAAAAAAAAAAATCATTTATTCATTCTTATGAAAATAAATAATTGCTAAATCTATTCTATAAATAATGTGATAGACTAAATCTACCCGATATGTTCGTATTTTTTATACTAAAATTTGACATTAAATTATAGCCTCTCACTTGGTAGTTGGTGCACAAAAATGGACTGGAAGATTCCATAAACAACAACGATAGAAAGGCACAGGAAATGAAAGGCTATGCATTGCACGTTGGGTCCTGTAAACATGGGCACCATCCTGCTGTCATAGCACAACCCTATAAATAACATTCCCTTATCTCCTCCACATTCAGCACCATTGTTTAGCTCTTAATTGGTTCACGTTTTTTTCAATATTCTCCGTCTCTTCTCTCTCTCTTTCTCTTTAATCAATTTCCATTAACTTTCTCTCAATTATTTTTTCAAAGAGAGAGAGTTTTTTTGTTATTTTTTAGGAAGTTAAAAAAGAGAGAGGAGACACAGAAGAAAATGGCTGTTTCTAACATTTCATTTGGAGTTTTGACTACCATTATTGCCGTCATTGGTGCCACCTTTATGCCTTTGGCTCATGGACAATCATTAGCTCCTTCTCCATCACCCACGAGCGATGGTGAGTCTCTTCCTCCTTTTTTATTTATTTATTGGAGGTCCAATTGACCTATTAGACGATACAATGTAGCAGTCCTTTGCATTAAATAATCATCATTATCAAAGAAATTAGAGTTATTAGAACTCGAATTTTGCTTCATTAGAAAAATTAACTAATACATAACCACTAGGCTAAACCTGCTTGTGTGTCTCTTCCTTCTTCTTAATTAATTTTATTGACATATTAAATGAATGAACAAATTTGAAATTGGTAAACATATTGGGAAAAAAAAATGTTTTAATGTCAATTATCAATTTGAAGTATTTTTTTATAACTTGTAATTATTTTATTTTATATATTTTTCTTCTTCCCTTGTTTTAGGGTTAGATTATTCGTCACAATTATGACTATATTAATCTGCAATTTTTTTTGGTAAAGGTAAAAACCATTAATGGATAGCCAATTTTATTTTCTTTTGACATGGATTTTCTTTCCTCAATATGTCTATTAGAATCTCTTTTTTAAAAAAATTTGACGAATCAAATGATTTGTTTCCGTTTTCTTAGCATGTTATTTATGCTAGAATATATTTTTTAAGGTCATAACTATATAACATTTCTACCTTGCCAAATTTTCAATATAGGCCACTATATTTCTATTTCTTCTTTAAAAGAATACCTTGTTCAAGATAAATAAATTAAATTTACACTTCAAGAGAATACCTACCTAGATTATAAAAAGAAAAAAGAAAAAAGAATTCACCCTTTTTTGCTCTGTTTATTGTGTTTGCAGGCACTGCAATTGATCAAGGAATTGCTTATATTCTAATGCTTGTGGCATTGGTGCTCACATACCTTATTCACTGATTCATTAACCAGGCGCACATTATTTTGGATTTAGTGTTACTTTGGTCGTAATCTTAAATGAAAATATTTTGTTTTAGTTTTAAATCCTAAGTGCGAAATATTGATATTCTCTCCTAAGAATTGTATTTATTTGTTGAAATTTGAAGGAATATCTCTATCGACCATCCAGAAAATATTTTTGTTCTGGAAAAAACAGTGCTGTCGAGCTCATTTTACTACATAAATCGTTGACAAATATAACAATTCAGTTCGAATTTCATTCTTTCGGTAAAAGAAGAAGAAGAAGAAGCAAATCTCAAAACTTATGAGGACAATCTCGATTAGATCCCTAAACTATTTTTCGTATTAAAGAAATATCCACAAGATCCTTTCAACAGTTTCAGTTAACATAATTTTTAAGGGATCACTTGAAATTATGAATTTATTAAAATTTCTCTCAATCAAATTATAGAATAGACTATATAAAGAAACATAAGGAATTTATTTTTTATATGGTGATAAGGAATTTTGAATTTGAATTAATGGTTTTATAAAGAAATTTTAAAATAATCAAGAAGTAACTTACAATAATTACTTTATGGATCCATTTTGCATACATAAAAAAGAGAAAAAAAATTACATTTAGATCCATCATAAGTTATAAAAATATTTTAACCTAAACTCATTTTTTTTTTAATCATTAAGTTTTCTCATTTTTTTCTCTTTTCTTTGCATTCATCTCTTCATGGAGTAAATAGTGTTAGTTACTCTTAAAGTAAGATAAAATTTCTCAATTTTATATGAAAATGAATAAATGCTTGTGTGATAACCCATAATTAAAATACTTTTTTTATTTTCAAAACAATAAAATCCCATCTTATATCTATTTAGAAAAAAAAAGAGAGAGAATAATATGACTTATTTTTCCAGACTCAGTAATCAAAATACACTTATTCTCATGTCCTGCTTTCCAATTGCTCTCTTTCTCCTATTCGATTTTTTTTAACACGTTTTTTTTTAGTCAATTCAAGTTTTGTTTGAATTGTTTCTTACAAAAAAAAAAAAAAATTCAATTCAACTCTTTGTTTCAAATGAGGTTTAGTTGGCTTTATATATATATATATATATATATATAAGGTTACAGATAGTTCATCAAAGGTTCCATAGAATATATATATTAATTGATTTAATTTTGGTATACGTAATTTTATCTAGAATTTGTTATTATATTACTTTGTTTTGTGTTGTTGTAAAAAAGCCATAGTGTGTGTGTATATATATATAGAGCAGTGTCAAAATCTTCTTACTATAAATGAGCAAATTAAGGAACACTTCACATTATGTCATTCATGAAAAGATTAGATATTACTTAGAAACTTATAATTTACCAATGTTATGAAGAGTTTTGTTAGATCTATTTTGTCGTTAATAAAGATATCTAGAACTATGTCGGGATCAATGCTTTTCTATGTTTTTTGTTATCCCTCTTTCCTATTGAGGGTTATTGTTTCTGGTTGCTCGAAAGATTTTGTCAATAACAAGTAGAAATGAATTTTCGATCAATAAAACCAGATTGTGCAATATGTTCTTTCATTGATTTATAGTGGTTGAGACTTTGTTGTAAGTGTGAGATACTACGTACAAATTTCTACAATGACAGCTCAAGTATGAAAGTTTAAGAGAGTTTGGATTGTCATTTTTTTTTTTTGGTCCAATTTGATTAAACTACTTTGAATGCTGATATCCAATATTGCTATCGTTAAACTCTTTTCTTTTTTCTTTTTTTTTTTTGAAAAATAGAATATAATTTCCATTTTTATTATATTTCTTATATTTTTAATGTGAAAATATTAATGCACTTATAACTTTTTTGATATTAATTATACATATATTAAAACAAAATATAGTTTTACTGTAGCTAAACCTTTGCTATAGGTTTTTTTTTTTTCTAGAAACAACGTCGTTTTACCAATAAAAAAGGCGATTTTTTTTTTTGACATTTTATACGCTATTTTACACTTTGGTTATTTTTATTTTAATTTTATACAAAACGGTTTCTAATTTTAATTATTGTTACAATAAGGTCCCTGAGTTTTATGGCTGGGCTGTGATTCCAGCCCAGGACCATGGGCCTAATTGTCTACAAAACCCATGTAGAAAGGCCTGGTGTGAGCCTAGCCCAACCTATTTTTTAAGCTTTTATTTATTTTTCATATTTAATTATATACTCAAAATAAATTTTATTCTCCGTAATTAATGGTTATTTTTTTTTTTTATTTTATAGATTCATTAAATAAAATTAAACACTATTACTATTATAAATTGATATAGCACCTTCTTCAAATTTGATTTTTTTAATAAATAAATAATTAATTGCATGTTTTTTATTGATAAAAATAAAAAATATTTCTAGAATATATTTAACTATTTCATATTCATAATACATATTGAATTAAATAAATTCTCACAATTAGTATTAATTAATATTTATTTTGCACCAAAATTTTAAATTATTTAAAATATTAAAATAATATATAAACTTCCCGAGACAATGCATGGTTACTATGCTAACGATATATATTATCTTTTATTTTCCACTCTCAGGAGGAAAAAAAAAAAGAAAGAAAACATAGAATGCTGCTCCTGTGCTAGGAATTCTTGTGGCAAGGATTAATTTTTTTTTTCTTTTCTTTTCTTTTATAAATAGGATCGTCGCATATGGAAACTCTAGGGTGCATACATTGTACATTTATACGAAAAGATGGAGTCAACGTTATTAACCGTAAACCACCATGCATGGGTTTCTGTCTCTTACGAAAAAATGAAGTGGTAGCTTGTAGGATTCTCCCATTTAATTAATTCTTTCACTTCTTTCTCAATCTCTTTCGTTTCTTTCATCAGACTACTGATGCAGAACCCTAGGCTATATATGCTAAGCATCAACTGGCTCTTAAGCTTCTGTGCACCTTCGTGTTTGTCAATCTTTTTAGCTCCTTCTTTTGAATGTTGGAGAATGGAACTCTCCATTTCTGAAATTTCTTCTTCATCTGGACTCCATGACCTAAATACCACATCTGTACTTGGTGATGATTTTCCTAACTCAATGTCATGAGATATGTTTATCTTTTGCACCTTTTTTTCCAGCAGTGCCAAGGAATTGATCGAAATCAACTCTTCAAGACATTTCAATGAAAAGCCAACTTTCTTCCCAAAAAGATTTAGATAATTGTTCATGAGAACTTCCTGTAGCTCCTTCCAATCCACTTCCAACCCATCTGATACTTGAGATATGCTTTCGATTTCAAAGACTACGAACAACAAAAGGTACTCCATCTTTCTTAGAGATGCCAGTAACTTGCGATAACAAGCACCATGAAAAGGCAAGAACCAGAAGTTGGGTTCTGACTCAGCTTCAACAATGAATTTCTCCAGGTTGTTGATGCGTGATTTCACCTCCAGCTGCCTTCTTCTTAAGGCTGGAATTGAAGATGAGAAAACACTTTTTTGACCAGCACAAAGCTGGGATATGTTGTCGGTGCAATCTCGAAGTGCCCTTAAGCTCCAAGCAAATTCAGTCTTTGCTAGAGTTGCTGCTCTTGCAGGTTGCGATATTATCTCTACCATAACGAAGCAAATTAATCCAATGCAAGCTTCTACGAGTCTTGCAGTTGCAAACTCATTTGGAGTGCCATAATTTTTCCTACCCAAGATTAACGATGCTCCTATCACAGCTGAAATCCCACCGGCTTGGCCATACATCCTGCTGTGCCTTAGAAAACTGGCGAAAATGATCCAAGGAAGAAGAGGTAGAAACCGTAACTCCACAAATCTTTGGAAAATGAAGCAACACAAGATTCCATAAACCGATCCCATTGCTGTCCCTTGTACACGAGCATTCGTAACTGCAAAAGTTGCTTGTCTTTCTGTGACGAAACTGATGGCAATGGTGAGTCCTGACCAGTACCCATTTTCTTTGTTGAATATCAAACCGAATAGCACGGCAAAACCCAAAGAAAGAGAACACTTGACTGCAAAAGTCCATCTCTCCATGCTTGGTAATTTTATAGGTGAGGAATCCCAAGTCTTTCTAAGGTTAGACTTCTCTTGATCTTTTTTACTGGTTACATCTCTAGCTCCAGTTTCGTTGGTGTTCTCTGAGTTGCACTCTGGATTTTGACAAATAGGCAATTCCTTCAAGAGGAGTTCCATGCAGTACGAGAAGAAGAAAGCTGGTAGGTCTCCAGGTGTTGCGACACTGATATTTGGGGCCAAAATATAACTTTCTTCAACCTTTGCCTCTGGAACTGTTGTTGCATCAAAACGAGCAAAGCACTTGGCTTTCTGTAGCTTTAGGCCTACTTTTCCTTTCATACTGAGCAGCGCTTCTTTGATCCCTTCGTCTATCATGCTAACAGGAAATGAAGAGCATGATGTAAGAGCAATTTCCATTCCTCTCATTGATATTTCAATGTCTTGCAAATTTTCTTCTAGGTTAAGCTTTCTGATTTGTGGTTTCTCGTATAACATGCCTCCCTGTTCATAAAGAAGCGACTTTAATTAGCCAATTGATCCTTTTAAGGCTCAAGTGGATAACGGCAATAATTAGACAAAGTAGAGATAATTTACTTGAACATCTTTGACTGTTTGAAGATGCCTGACTCCTGTTTTAGAGAGGAACTTTGCTTGGGAAAGCAACTCGGTTGCAGCTTGCTTGTTTTGGGAGGTTAACGCCTCAACAAAGAGATTCAACCTCTCTGAGGCATTTTCAACGTATAATCTGCATGTTTTCCTAACCTGCAAGTATCACCAACGATGTTTATGATTTATCTATATATGTAAAAGAAAAACATCTAAATCTATACATTTACCATTACTATTGGAATCTGTTACCATTCAAAGAAAAAGATGAAAGGTAGAAAGCAGTTTATTAAGGGAGGAGAGATCAATATTCTACTGTACTATAGATCAAAGCTTTGTATCAAAATAAAAAGATCTCTTAGTTATGCAGAATGATAGAACTTCTTTACACTTAAAACTTACTTTGTTTAATGGGCTTGTCTCCCATTGATTAGCACATATTATCGTTGATCATATGCGATTTTATAGACGTTTTTAATCACTAGTAGAATAGATTTAAATAACAATCTACATATAATAATTTCAAAACATTTCATTATCGTTATTTGATATTATATATCATAAATTATTATTTTATTATTACAATAAGTTACAATATATAGTTATAAATTTTATCATGAATATAATCCTTTACGATTTAAAGCTGTGAACAATAATGAATTATTATGGGATTCAGCGTGGACACACATATCCATCTCTTTTCTAAACCGATTACTTTCTCAAAGTTGATGAGTATAAAGCTAAAGCAAATCCTTCTCCCTATCCACAATTGGGTTAGGATCGAGTTGTCGGTTTTAAAGTCAAAACTTTAAGCATGAAGAACAAGATACCATGGGAGACCATGAAGATAAAGAAAGATATAAGATAATGTAGACAAAACCAATAATGGGGAGCAAAGGCTTCATCCTCTTGTATTCTCGTGCTTAAGAGAAAGACAGACACAACCCTACAACTAACATTTGGAGTCTAATATTAATTTGGATGTCATTGGAGAAAGGGGTGATATATATATATATATATATTATATATTCAATCTCTTTCAAGCCATCTATCTATGACAGTATTGATTCCCCCGCCAGCATGGAGGTGACTCGTCCTTTTTCGATCACAAACTAATTAAAATATGCAAAATTTAGGTTATAACTCAAATCATGGAAAAAGAAACCAAACAAACTAATTAAGATTATATTTGACATGATTTTTATAAATTAATTTACATTATTTTATTATTTTTTAATTTTTAACGAGAGAAGAAATCATAAATATATTTTGTTAGAAATAACTTTCGACTTAAATCAAAATTTTGTTTCAAAATTGAGTTTCTTTAATTAAAAATTGAAAATTTTAACTTTTAACTTAATGATTTCAACTAACACTACATATTTTTTTTTAAAAAAGAAAGTTATCTTGAATCATTTTTATCAAACATATTCCTAACTTAAAAACATTTTAACTTTTTTGTTTTTGCAAGTTATTTATGAAAAATAACTTTTATATTACGAATTAAAGTTAAAAATTGTAATTTAGAAGTCATGTCAAACGGATTCTAAACTAAGAATCTGTTTGGTCCCATCATTAATTGCCTGTTGTTTGGTGACCATGTAATTGCAACTGAAGCCTTTTCTTCCATTTCTCTACTATCAACTACTTGAATAAGATTAATGAATTGTTTACAGCGTTCTTATACCAAAAAAACTGGAAGACAAAAGAACTACTGTAAATTGACAACTTAGGGTCTTGGAAAAATGATTTTGAAGCTTTGATGTTGGATCGATAGAGAAGCAATGATGCATAGTCAGATATAAAGTTTCTTTCCTTTTGGCAAGATAATGAGAATAAAAGAAAAAAAAATCTAGCATTTACCTTGTAGTAGGCTAGCCTAGGGAATGGAACCAGCATAGCCAAAACAGAAGCTAATGCTCCCAAGGCTGTGCTTGAAGCCACATGAATTGGGTGCATCACTATTCCAGCTTCAGCACCATGGATAGCTACACCTACATACACAATCACAATCTGCCCAAATGCAATCCGCTTAGCCATCAAGGAAGTTGATTCTGGCAGCGCCACCATCAAGGCACTGATAGCCACTGCCACTGCTGCCACGCTACAGGTGAACCTGGCTGGTCCAACCACTTGCAAGGTCAGTACACAGGGGATCATTACTTGAATAGTAGCATATAGAGCATGCCAACAGCCTCTAAGAGTGTCACCAAGAGTAGCATCCGAGACGATTAGGATTGCTGTCACGTAAGAGAAGGCCGGATACGCAACAAAGTGCCTAAGTTTTGCAGGGCCGTAGAGTGCGGTGCAACCAACTATGGTGCATGCCAATGTTGTCCTTAGAGCCGAGCTTAAGCGCTCGAGCCACAACGCTTTGATTGGATCCTTTGCTGTTGCTGCTGACATTTCAATAGAACCAGCAGTTGCCAAAAACGAGGGCCGGCCTATGTATGTTTTGGAGTAGTATGCAAGCTTGATGTAAACCTGAGATGTTGTTTGTTTTTGCAAGCTTGGTTTGGATAGCAGGGCTGATGCTTTATAGGAGAGGACACTGATATCAGTTCCTTGTGCTGACAAACTAACGTGGACCAAAAAGCCTTATAATTTATGGAACGACGTGATAGCGGATAATGACGTAATTTGAGATCTAATTCGATGTGAAACGGATCAATGAGTAAAATTCATCGGCTTTGCCCATGATGTAGGGGTAATTTTGACAAAAAAAACGTCGTTTAGGCCTTCAAAATTATAATTTACTGTTTTTATGGGATTTTAGTGATTTTCAGGATTTTTTTCCTATTTAATTTTGGATTTTTAATGTCTGTTTCTTTTTCAAATTTCTTTAGGGTTTTCACCTAAACTTTATTATTTATGTAAGATTTCTAGATTGAAAAAATATCACTTTTGCTTCATTAACAAACTTTTGTAAGAAAGTATTTCAGTTTTTTCAATTCTTAGTATTCTTTAAATCAACAGGTTTGAAATTTATTTTCTAATATTTATGTGTGCGATTCAACAGGTTGTAATAGATCGGTATCTAAATTTTAGATCAATGGTACTTATCCTTTTTTTGTGAGTTTTCGCTATGTCACAAACCTTGCTAAAAGACTCATTTAACTGTCTCTATATAGCTTGAAGGTTAAGAAATTGATCACTGTGCGCAGGATTTAGGCACCTGATGATGCTTGGATGGTGGTCAGCAACGTTCATTGGTTGCTCATTAATCGTGGCCGGGATTTGCTTATTTGTTTAAAATTTGTAGCATTGGATGAACCAGTCATTATAGTGGGAGTTAAAGCATAGCAATCACCTTATATATAAATATTAAAAACGTTAGTTAATTAACTGGTGATTTTGTACCCTCTCCTGTCAATTTTGGCAGTCGACTTTATAGTGTTTGTCCTCTAGTTTTTTTTTTTTTGGTCTTTTACAGGGATTTGCTCCTATTTTCTTGCAGGAAAAATATTCCACATTCAACAATGGGTTCAATAATCAGCAGTTAATTGTTATAAGATCGTCGAGTTAAAGCTCTCAAGTGAAATAAAATTACCACAGCAACTCCTGCTGATCTCAGGTCCAGCTGATTTTTCCATTTTTATGGCAACTCAATTATTATGGTAGTTGGCAGCTGGAGGATAAACCATGGCAACACACTTGCATGAGGAATCAGTTCCAAGCCCTAACTCAAATGGTGCACTTGTCAAGTGCTGATAAAAGAAAACGAGTCCTGCAGGATCTGTAATCCAGAAAATGAAACTAACCTGGTCAGCAAATTGAACTGAATGCTTGGCCTAGGAATCACAGAAAGTCGCATCAAAATCATGGCCTACCTAGCTAACTAAGACTTAAGGGAGTAATGTAATCTCACGCTCATCCATAACGAATTATTGAGAATGCAACAAAACATCATCTAGCAAAGACATTTTCTATTCTAGTAGTCAAAATGATCAGACAAAACCAACGTTAATCTTTAACTAAGGCTTTCAAACTGGAAGAAAAATAAATCTCCACTGCCCATAATATCTTCATGCAATAAGGCCATCAAACTGAAAAGACTAAAAGCATGATGCTAGAACAGGAAAAGTTCTTATTCCTTCAAAAACCAAATCTCATGTTTACACACTTGATATCTTTTTATGTCAAATAATTGTAATTTTGTAAAAAGAAAATCAATGATTGCTAATTAGCCAGGGTAATGAACAGGATATATTCCTTCCTTGAGTATGTTAGAACTTGGAACCGTGGTTCTGGGAATAAATCATGAGCCACGAAATTCGGAATCCACAAGCTTGAGGTGGAAAGGGCTGCCCTTGCCCGAGGGTAAAGGGAGCATTTAAGTGTTGCAGATCAGAGCCAATAATTATGTATTTCTGTCTAATACTCAAAATGATCAGCTGCCATACATTCATTTTGTAGTACTATCAACAAGCTAGCAATCACCGAAGGTTGTAGGTGAAGTGGAAGGTTGTAGGTGAAGTGATAAGAAAGTACTGTCTTTGACTCATCAGGTCAAGGGTTTAATTCTCATCGTTGAAAAGTTCTTTTCTTTTGTGTGGTAATGGACACAACTGCCAATGAACTCAAAAAATCTAATTTTTAGAACGCGATCAAAAACTAAATATAATCCAATGCTGACCTAGTTTAAAAAGTAATTAACTTAATCTCGATTGATGTGAAAATTGGCTTAAGAATAACTCTTTAACTATAAACATATATTAAAAAAAAAAAAAAAGCTAGCCACAGAATGCCTCCACATTATCATAGATTTGGAAAGACGAAAGATCGATGCAATAACCAAAACTAAAATCTTTTACTGATCAAGAATATGGAAAACGATTTGTCATGTTGAGAAGCTATACATACATGGAGTATATACAAATTTAAAAACTTTCTATGGTGGATTAAGAGGTTCGCAGTTCAATGATGTCGTTGTTTCAGGTTTCAAATGAAAATATATGGCAGGCAGCTACAGGATCAGTTCATAATCTAGATAATACTAGCAAGCCTAGCTGGCTTGGCATGCTATGAAGTCTTAATTGGCCAAATACTATAATGGCTATTAAATTAAGGGAAAGCTGAGGCTTTGAAAGAATTGGATCATGAGTCAGATTCATCATAAAAAGGGCAGGCAACAGTGAGCTCAGGTCTAGTTTGAATGAGGAAAATGACAGTAAATGCATTGTCTAGCATGAGTTAGTCACTAATATTATGCATATCCCCTCAGGAATTGCAAAACTGAAGCAAGACCGAATCTTCGTACACTCTTCTTTACTTCAGTACTGTGTGCAGATCTAGTTTTAACAATAACCATCAAGTCAAATGACATCTTTCTAAAGCTTCTTAGCCACTTGGGCTTATCAAGGTATTTTCTTCCTTTTAATGGAACAACTATTACTCTCCCTATTCATGTTCATATGAATGTCACTTCATATACCAATAATACTGTCATATCTTAACCTTACCCAGAAAGCTCTCTGCTTGAGCATCCACGAAAGGATTCAGATTATCATGTACATGTGAGTGGTAACCATCTCACATTGCAGAAAAAAAGAAAGAATGTCACTTCTATCAAATGCGTTGTTTCGCCTCCGTACCTGCAAGACAGCGCCAAGTAATCTTGTCTCAGGGCTCAGGTCGACTTGCTATGATCAATGTACAATGACTTGATAGGTTCTGTTCGGTTTATCAACGTCAGTATTCTAAAAAAATAGGCAAAGAGTTACGCGATAAATAATACGCTCTTTGCCTTGCATGTAAAGTTGCTCCTCTCGTCAACCGAAGGATGCTAGATTTCAGAGTAAAATTTCCAACTTTCGTATAAAAATTCTAATGGTTTTCCGCTTTTCGCCATTCCACCTCTCCTCAGCACTGCTCGACATTAACTATATTCTAAGAAGCAAGAAACCTGAAGCGACAATCTCACAATAATCATGCACATACTTTTTCCCCCATAATAAAAGATAGGCTAAGATTTAATGATCGACCATGTTAGGAACATGAAAAAATCCGAATACCAAATCTGTTTCTAAAGACCAATGCCAATTCCATTATTGGGCCTCACTACCCAGCACTCTTGGTTGACACCATACACCCCACTCTACAGAAATGGAGGCCAATTAAGAATCCATTTTCCTGGTGGCGCAGTGCTATCTTCCAGCAAGACCCACTTCTTAGGCTCTAATAGTTTGTGTTAATTTATGAATTTTCAAATTCCCAACTTTCACCTTTCCATACATAATAATGGTCAGCGGTAATTCATGCAGTTATTCAACTGGAAATGTAAAAAACTAGCAGCGGAAGAATAGAAGAGAGTTCGTAAACTGAGGTCAACTCAGAAAAAACTGTACTTGGGGAAAATTCCCAGAAGTATCAAAATTTATGCTCCTTTAGAGCAGTATACGTTATGGGCAACTTGGAAAACAAAATTGAATAATGAAAGAGATTCTATGGTTCTATCCTACTCTTCCCGGCCTAGAGAGACGCACCTAACCATGAAAAATTGCATTTCTTCTCTGCTTGGATCTTATTAACATAAGCCACTACTGGCTGTTTTTGCATTGTCAAGTGTTGCTTCTATGCCGTCACCCAACATTGCTTCAGTGAAAATAAAATAACTGGTAAAAGTACTGATCCCCATTTATTGTGAAGTTGCATATCTGTGATGTAGGACATACTTCACGACTTCATAAAACGAAACCACAATCCCAACAGATGGCCCGGCACGGCCAACACGAGGACCAACACCTGTGAACAGTGCCCTCATTCCTCCATCCCTGTTTCATTCAAATCAAAATTCATGAATAAATTATGCAGTTCATAAGATCTGTTATGGCAATGCAATCAAGCAGTTTGCATGCCACCGGCCTACAAAGAAAACCCAGCAACCGTTCAGCATCATGGATTAGGGAAGAAGATGGGCTTTAATCAACAAATACATTCATGAAATTAGAAAGGTACCTCCAAATCTCCATCAATGTTTGCCGTGTAGTCATCCTCAATGCTCTAACAGGATCCTTCTGAAAATTAAATGAAGATATCAAATTGTCAAATATTGCTGTTCAATATTGCAGAGCATGAAGCTCAATTTTCAGGCCAGTCTGGAATTCAAAACAGCAGGTTCCTTTTGTTCTCATTTGAGTTTCATGAATCAAAATAATAATTTCATTGCGCTGTCTACTTCTATTTGTTATTCAAAATATGGATTCCAAACCAGCATTCAATAGCCCTGAATTACATTTCATATGGAACACCTTAACACATGATTGGAGGCTAACATCTGCCTAAAATTGCATTCAGAAGGGCAGGGGAAGCAATAACCTCTATCTGCCTGCGGGTTTTTGCAACATCTAGAGGGCATGTAGCACCAGCAGCAAGACTTCCTGCGACAAAAGCAGCAGAAAAGTTTGCTCCAAAGATTTTTAAAGAGTCGGGGTCCTCGCCAACCAAACTCAGAAGCCTTCTCCTGATCTACATCAACAGAAGAAAAAAAAAAATTTCCATTTCTCAGCAAAATATACAGCTTATGGACGATAAATACATCTAAAGTCCATTAGCCAAAAAAAATATAATATTTTTTTTTTGTAGAAAATCAAGAAGAAGACTACTTACTGGCTCAAGGGTTGACCAACAAATTGCTGAGTATGGAACGTCACGAGCAAGCTGTGCTCCCATGCCTGTCCACAGTACACGATAGCCTCTCACTGTTGCAAGAAACCATGTTAACTATCGCAATAAGTAGTTCCAACACAGCAAGTGGATTGTGTACTATATATTAACTGGGACACCTTTTGACTTTCGAGCTCCAGACCTTTTTTTCAGCCTTTTTTTATCTTATTACAGGAATTCTACGCTGCCCTTCTATTATTCAAAATGTTCTCACAGGTTTCTTATAAGTGGTATGCACAGATTTAATGAGCCAATGCCAACCAGCAGCAAAAGAACTTTTTTTTTTTTTTTTTGGCTCTGCATGGATACCAATTGCCAGTGAACTTTAATTAATCCCCACCATTCATGAAAACTAGAAAGATGAGTCTGAGGCCACAGTCATTAATTAATTGGTGTAGGTGATTTTCAGATGAGGCATGAAACAGCATCATATTCCACTACCATCAATTTACAATCCAAGGAAGATCTGAGATTATGCAATGATAAAACAATCACTTACAATTTTCAGCATTGTTTGTACTTCTGACAAGGGAGAGGACCTCAACTAATGTTTTCCAAACTCCAGGAGGTCTACCAGTTTGAGTTGCCTTAAATGCCTACGGTTGTGGCAACAAACAAGTAAAATAAGAAGCTCCCATGAAAAGAAAGCAACAACACAGGATCAAGTATGAAAGCAAACACAATATAATATTTTTTTAAAGTTAGTTTCCTAAACAATGTCTAGTGTAGCAAAACAATAGACTAAATCATTGAAATTGTGGAATTTCCAGTTCAACAAGCTCTGTCACAAAGTAGATTAATGCATTATGGAAAATTGCAAACAACATCCCTCCAAATTATTTTTAGTCATACCGCCTTATGGAATCTGGAACATTGAGTAACAAATTCTTGTCTGTGTAATTAATTGGCAACAGAGAACTGTGCACCAAATTGTAATTCATAGAAAAGAAAAAATACACACCAAAAAATAATTATACACACAAAACAGATATATAAAGCCACACAGAAATAATCTCAAATTCTATGTTTCCAACTGATAGGACCAATCCAGACTAAATTGGTTGACTTAGATATCAAACAACATTATAGAATACGAAAGAGAAAAAGAAATTATAAAATGCCAACAAGGGTAAATCATCATCTACTTAAAAGGTGACATTGCAGTCTCATTTCTAGTATCTTGTTGAAACAAATTAACTACTAGTTGTAGGATAGAGAGCTAGGAATCTGGAAATAACACCCCTCCAGAACAGTACTGGAGGTGTATAAAAGAAGAATATGCGCTGACAGAGGGATTTATTCCCAATATAACACAGACAAAATATATTTACGCAATCATTTTCTCTACCTGCATGCGGGTTCTAGCAAGTTCAATAGGATAGCAAGTTGCACAAGCTAATGAACGTGCCAATGAGCCTGCTACCAAAGGCACATATGGTGTGGCACCAGGAATATTTTGGGCAGTTAGATCCTCCAGCCAATTACGAAATAAATCATAGCATGGCAGGTAGATCCCAACCTGCATACAGGAGTACAAACAAACATTTATAAGAGTTCACATAATACAAAATATTATATCATCACAATAGTGCCACGTCTCAACTGAAACATGCTGATTGAGGGACTTACTGTTGGTATAGCCAGAGCCAGACCAGCATTTGTGCCTCTCCATAGCCTTGCAATTCCTTCCTGCAAATTCATCCTCTGGTTAAACAATCGATAGAAAACTGAAAAAATGAAGTCACTAAGGACATGAACTGTAGAGTTGAATCCGCATATCACAATCTCTTCACAAAACTAAAGATCAATACGCATGCCTGCAACTGGTTCACCTAACACTTTGTCAAACTTGTAATATCAGCATCTGAAATGCACATTTCTCCCCAGCAAAATACATATACAAGCATTTCACTGTCCAATCATGCAGCTGCTGATCATTATCAATTTTATTTTATTTTTTGTTCTTTCACCCATGGATAACATTATTTATAATTCTATATTATCACAAATTACTAACAAACCACCAACCTGCCGTATGATTTTGTAGAAAACATCTAGAGTTCCCTTATACTGGAAACAATCAGGAGGACAAATCGACACTGTTCCATGAACCCCGGCACGTGTACACGATGGCGAACACCTTAGATCAGCAAACATCTGAGCCAACCCCAACATCCCCAATTAATGGTAAAATTTGACCGAGCAAAGAATTATACAAGTGCTAAATACCCAAAAAAAAAAAAAAAAAAAGAGTCCGTATATACCATGGTTGGCCCAAAATGTGCCATTCGACTTATAATGTTACTTAGAGGGTGTGAGTACTCAACTCCAGCTGCCTGTGCTTGCAACCTTGTCTGCAAATAAAAAAAAGAAAAATGAAATAATTAAGTAATCAATATGCACTTAAATTTCTGAACTACTAAAAAGACATTAAAAGTAGAAATAGTATCCCATTAAAAAAAAATAATAATCAAAACTCCATTCAAGAAACATCAATGAATCTTGAGCCAAAACCCAAATCATTTGTCAACAGAATTTACATAAATTAGGAACCTAAAAATGCCAAAATCATAAAATCCAAACAAAACACCTCATTTTCAATTAAAAAAAAAAAAAAACCAAGTCCTAAAATCAATAATAAGCACAAATATAACACCATTAAAAGAAAAATGCTAAACAATATTGACATTTTCTTATCACTTAAAAACCTAAATATCCGAAACTATATATATATATATATATAAAACTGAACCAAATAAAACAAAACATCAATAATTACCTTCACAACATCGAGAGGGTTAACAATAATAGCAGACAGAAAAGCAGCACCAGCAGCAGATATAGCTCTTTCTCCAATTCCTAAATTCCAATCTGTTGTTGTTGTTGCTGCTGCTCCGCTATTAGATTGTTGTTGCACCTGCGCATCACAAAATCCTCTCTCAGCGAATCCACCATCATCGTGATTACCATCCAGAACCACTACCGGTGATAAATCACGACCGGTGCCGCCGTTGTCATTGTTATTTATCTTCCATTGATTTTGAGTCATCTCCGTCCCCATCATCCCACAAAAAAAAATATTAAAAATATTTGAGAGATTAAAGAGATTTTTCGAGGTCAAAAAATAATGGGTTGTTGGTGTTCATTAAAGAAAGAGTGCATTTTTGGCGAATTTTTGTGTTATTCCTGATTCCTTGGGGAGCAGGAAAACAACAGAGAGAGAGAGCAAAGAGCGTCGTCCTCTTTCTTTCGAGAGAGCACCAGTGTTTTTACATAGGGCCACGTTTGGCGACGGTTTTTTGAAAGCGATGTGTTTTTTAGGGTTTTGCTTGACTTTGATTATTAAATTTTTTTTTTCCTGTGGTTTATAATATTAGTTTTATAGGAAAACGAACTGTCAATTCATTTGAGTAAATTATAATAAATTAATCTATGTAGTTTTGAGAAAGAATTAATTAATACCCCATGTTTCAAAAACTAATTACAATGTTTTTGTCAAATTTATGTTTTTTTCTAATTTTTTATTTAAAAAATAAATAAATAGTATGAAAATATTGATGAAAAAATAATTTTTTAAAAATAAAAAATATTAAATTAACTATGATCTGATAAAAAAAATTAAATAATTAATTTTTGAAACAAAATGGCTAATCAATTTATTCTTAAAACTAGAGGGAGTAATTTATAATTTACTCAAATTTCATTGTGGGTTTTTTTTTTTTTCCTTGTTAGTAATATCTAGTTAAAACATAGTATAGTTATTGGGTTTTGAGAAAGGTGAGAAATAGGAAGAGAGTGTTGAGATTCCATATCAAATCATATTCCAAAAGAATTGATTTTGTTTTGTAATAAATACACCAAAACTAAATTGATTTTTTATTTATTTATAAGAAAACTAAATTAATTCTAATTCTAATTTGGAATTGTAATTATTTAGAAATTTCATTGGGCAAAGACTTTAACGTTTCTATAATAAGATAATTGTTATGCAAAATGTAACAGAGAGGATCAATTAGTTTGAAAATAATTTTATAATTTAGTTTGATTTTATAAGAAAATTATAGTTTCATAAAACTTTAATTTGATATTAATATGTATGAATAGACTTGTTGTGTACGAGACAACTTTCTTTAATAAAACAAAGTTCGAGTTCTAATAAGGCTTTATGTACAAAAAAAAAAAAAAAAAAAAGCACAAACTTTTCCATTTTTAATCATATTAGTACTTTTTTTTCAATATTAAATAGAAAATACACAAATTATGCTTCGATAATTATATTAACATGAGTGAATTTTTTTAACTAAAATTCTATTTTTAATCGAGATTATGTGATACTACGTGTCATTTAGTCTTTATTGTCATTCTATTTCTCCCACGTCGACTCGAAAACGAAATTTTGATCGGAAAAATTTATGCGTGATAATATGGTTATTAAAAGCATAGTTTATGTAATTTCTATCAAATACTGAAAAAACATGCTAATATATATATATATATTAAGCCTTCTAATAATTTTAGTTTTTAATTATAATTATATTATCATTGTGTATCTCAAGTTATGTTGGTCATTTCACTTGAAAACAAATAAAACATTGATATTAGATGTAGGAGAGATTTTAATCGAGTAGTATAAAATTTCTCTAACATGTTCTATCATTTATTTTTTAAAAATAAAAATAAGTTTAAAGGAAAACCATGTTTACAAAAAGCTAACGATTGATAAAGACAAGAATGGACATGACAACAAAGTTCCTCGTTTGAATTGAGTCTTTATAAATGAGTTATCCACTTATTTGGAATTAATTTCAAACAAAATTTTCATATTTACAAAAAATAAAATTAAAATGCGATAAAATATCAATTTGTGATATGTTACATGATTGAGGATAAAAGTTGCTATTCCAATTTTATATTCTTTGGAAAAAAAAATTTAATATTTAAATTTTAATCATACTTTTATAAATTTTATAATGTGAAAAATTCAATTTTATTGTAAATATTTTTTAATAAAAAAATAACTTTGAGTCTTTATAAATTGCCTCTCCAAATAGATGCAAGAGCAAGCTCTAAAAAAAATTATTTATAATATTTAAATTTTAATTATACTTTTATAAATTTTATAATGTGAAAAATTCAATTTTATTGTAAATATTCTTTGGAAAAAAATTAATTATAATATTTAAGATTTAATCATAATTTTATAAATTTTATAATTTTATAATGTGAAAATTTCAATTTTATTGTAAATATTTTTTAATTTAAGAAAAAAACTTTGAGTCTTTATAAATTGCCTCCCCAAATAGATGCAAGAGCAAGCTCTAAAAAAAAAAAAACGGTGGAAACCTTAGGCTTGCTATATAATTGTAATATTAAAGTGTTTTTCTTTTTTATTTCAGCTGTTGGAGTATTTTTAGAACAATTTTCATGTGCCAATAATCTTTATATTAAATTTCTTTCTCAGCATTTTTTTTTTTTCGAGAAGTCAAGAATAGAGATATAGATGAAGAAACAAACAGGGCCTTATTTTTTCACTACTTCCAGGGCTTTCTATTACACTCGACAAGGCGCGATTCCCGTTTAGAATCAAAAGGCCACCAAAGTTACAGCTGGACTATAGTTTACTCTTTTACGAGTAAATGATAAATTAGTCACTTTGTTTTTGATAAATTAACTAATTAATCCTTTCCTTCTTGTTTTTAAAAAATAATTACTTAATTTATGTTATTCCTATTTAATTTAATATTATTTTATTTTATAAAATATTATATTTGTTTATTAATATTTTTATATTTTTTCTTATTTAAAAAATAATATAAAAATATAAGAATTAAATAATTATTACTTTTAAAACAAAAAGAAATGAATTAATTTGTCCCGTAAAATTAGAGAAATTAATTTATAATTTACTTACTCTCTTTACTCTTTTAGCACCCAAAAAAGGAAAAAAATTATTCACCTTCACCCAAGAAAATCTTTAAATTTTTAGTAACTAGTTAAATTAATTTCTTTATTCACTATAAAGAAAGTTTAATTTCTTTATATACTCTTTTGTATGTTTATTTTTGACAATGACACACTAAATTTGTGTGCATTGTTTATTTCATTGGACTTGTTGGGATCCGCTTCATGTTCAATTAATGTCGAGAAAAGCCTAATTTTACTATATTTTTTTTTCAAATGATGCCGTATATAATTTTAAGAAATGAATGAAATAATTCTTTGAAATAAGATTTTTACTTAATTAATGTGATTTTAAATGGAGCTGTTGTCATATAAATTAAATATTTCTTTTTTTCTTTACATAATACTCAAAATTCAATAAGCTTGTAGTTCATGGATGCTTTAACAAAATAAGAGGAAATGATTTTTAAAATTCAAAGTCCATCGTTACTTCTATTTATTGTTAAAAAAAAAACCTGATTGACATTATATTTTAATTATAATTTCCATAATTTGAGAGAAGATAATCGAAGAGGTGATCATCTTTTACGCCTTGGTTCTTCTAGTGACACTCCATTTTGAGTTCGAAATTTTTTCTCATTTGGTATTGGTAACTTCCTTTCAAGTGACGCTGTTAGTGTTAATTTCTTGAGGCCTTAGCTTAATTGCCTCCCTCCTATGTACCAAAAAATAAAAATAAAATCTATTGACTCATAACTCTACTTCTATATATTGGACTCGTATGGTAGCTTGAAATACTTTCAATTAACCTGCTCTCCTGTTTATCTACGACTATGGCATTGCACTATCCTTCCACAAAATCCATATTTAATAATAAGATAAGTCTTTTTTTTTTTTTTTTAAATTCCTCATTTCCAACACTGATTAGTAAGTATATTTTGTAGATCAAATTTGTGTAATATTTTTTTTAATTATTTTTAATGGATTTATATGATTTTTTTTCATCTTATATATGTTTTTTTTAAAAAAAATAAATTCATAAAATAAATATTGATATTTACTCCTTGAATATTTTAAACTTTCTCTAATAACATTATCTCTCTCAAATCTCCACCTCCTCTCGTCTGAGTTGAACTTAAAAAGCAAAGCATATCAAGCCAAGCAAGTACCTTCCTTTCTTCTCATTTATAAACTTTATTCATGCTGACAGGCAAATTTATCCCTTCATATAACTTCCCTATGTTGGCCTTGCCAACTTGCTAAGCGTCTAGCAGCAGTACTGGTACTATTCCGACCACCGTCTTCACCGGATATCTCCTCCAAAGACTTACCTTTGGTCTCGGACAAGAAGAATGTGAAACAAACCCCCAGCATATTGGTAAATGACAGAGTCAACAAAGCATATTTTATTTTCTTAACATTCTCATCCACGGTATAAGATTGAACCACAAATGCCCCAATCATTGCTCCGGCCTTTCCCGCCGCAGCGCTGAATGCGTGACAGGTTGATCTGAGTCGGGTTGGAAACAACTCGGCCGGAAGCACAAAGGTTGTGCTATTTGGACCGAAATTGGCAAAGAAAAATGTTAGGCCATAGAGAAGTGCAAATAGCCACTTCTTATGTTCTTTAAGGTCTTCATAAAAAATCCCCATAATCAACATGAAGGCCGACATCATGATAAATCCCATGAGCTGGATGAAAAACCGGCCTAGACTTTCAATGTAGAAGACGGTGAACCAGTAACCGGGGAATGTGCCAAGTAATGCAACAATGAACATGGCAAGCGAGGTCTCGTAGACTTCCTCTAGAGCACTAACATCAACAGCTGGTTTCGTTAATCCCATGGCTGGAAATATGTCCTTTTGTGTTAAATTTTGGCTGTAGAATGCTATATCCAACAAGAACCATGTGCTCATTGTACCTATCAAGTGATATCCATGCCGGTCAAAAAACTCCCTGGATAGTAGCTGGTAGCTATTTGAGGCCTTGATCTCGGACAACTTGTCTGGTTCGTCTTGGATATCAATATCAAGAACCCTTCCCATATCGACCGCAGCTTTTTTAGCATTCCCTTCAATTAGAGCAGTGTAGCGACCGGTCTCGGGCATCTTCGTCCGCCAATAGTATGTTAATATGGCAGGTAAAGCACCAAGCATTAGAACTATTCTCCATAGAAAATCCGCCTGAGGCTGTGTAGACAGTATTGGATCTCTACTAAATGGTACAGCACGATAACCAGCAAGAAAAATTCCAGAAAGAATTAGCGACACTAGCCCGGCGAAAATAATTCCTACTCCTTGCATAGCAAACACTGCAGCTATAAATTTCCCACGAGTTTTCTTGTTTGCATACTCCGACATTATCGTTGCGGAAAGTGGATAATCACCACCAATGCCAAACCCTAGCCAAAATCTGAAGAAACAAAGAGTGCCGATCACTGATTTGGCTGATGATCCAAAGGATATACCTGAGCCAATAGCGCAAATCGCCATGATAATCAAAGTGAGACCGTAAACGTTCTTGCGGCCCATTTTGTCACCAAGCCAACCAAAGACCAATTGGCCACTTAGTGTTCCAACTAGGGCTACACCAGTAACCGCATTGTTAACATTTGTTGGTAGCTTGCCAGGAGTTCCGGTGGTCGGATCATAGTAATAAAGGCGGCCGAGGAGTTTCGACACGGCGGAGATGCAAAAAAGATCGTAAGCATCGGTGAAAAATCCCATACCAGCGATGATTACTGCAGTGGCATGGTACCATTGTGTCCTAGCAGTGTCAAGAGCATTGAGCACTGCTAAATTTGATGAGGACATGTTTTTTCTTTTCTTTCTTTTTTCCTCTTTCTTTGATTCAAGTGGTTTTCTTGCCTAGGATTTCATGGTTTTATAATTGGCATTTTAACTAATATGATAAATCAAAAAAGTATAGGAGTTCGATGGACACTAAGCCATGGGAGAATACCAAGGAATTAGAAACGGAATATCGAGAATATACTCCTTTGATTAGAACATTATTAAAAAAAATTAAAGAAATAAAATAGAATTATTTATGACTGAAAAAAGGTATGTTGAACATCCGTACGATAACAAATACTCTTGGTTAATAACGAAGATATATTAAAAAAAATATTGTGCCCCTTTCGGTTGTCTTAAGGTAATAGATCAGCGACTTAGCATGCTCAAGTAAGGTTTGATCAGTGTTTGACATTTTACCAATGGTAAAACTTAACGTTTAGGGATATGCTTCGGTGCTTTTGGAGGAAATATCCAAAGGCATCTTAGCAATTATTGAATTAATGATTGGATTGGACATTATTTGCGGTTAACTAGCAAGAAATCCAGCATTGATGGTTATCTGAACCTTGATCGGACGTCTTCCAATGGCTTGGATTTTTATCAATATATCTATTAATCTTCCTTCAAGCTTTTGTTTTTTCTTTCTTCTTCTTCTTCTTCTTCTTCTTCCCTTTTTTTTTGTTTTTTTTTGTTTTTTTTGACCGGAATACTTAATTTTTTATTAAGATTATTTTACTAAATGATATAACAGTACATAATTGGTGATTTATTAGTTAAGGCATCTGTAATTTTCATTTTGTATAGGACTGTCAATGGATCAAGTCAATGTAGTTAAATAGATATGATGTATAATTTTTATGATTTGAGTCTGATTATAATTTAAATTCATTAATTTGTTTATTAGATGAATTAAATATAATTTTATCTTGATTTGGTCCGATAATAACCCAATCCAAAAAGTAAAAATAATGTTTAAAAATGTTAAAAATTTAAATATGAGATTGTGTTGAAATTTAGAGTTTATTTATTTTAAATTCCAAATAACGCTAATTGAGATGATAGAGGTAGCAATAAAGATTATAACACTTGAATCTCTCTCTTTATATATTTGTCATTTCACTTATTGAAAGAAGGTGTACAAGCAAGTAGTTTAAGGTTAGAATTTGAGATATTAAAAAAATTATATTATTAAAAAATCAACGAGGGTTGGATTTAAAGACAATTTAAAAAGGCAATATTAATACTAAAACAACATATCCTAATAAATTTTTATGAAGTAACTTTTTATAAATATATGATAATATTAATAGATTTTTTTTTCTTTTTTCATTACTGCCCTTCACTTGTAGCATTATCATCTTGTAATTCGAATTAACAAATATTTATTTTCTTACCATGTGAACAAGAAATGAAGACTATTTTTTATAGTTATCTTTTAATTTTTTTATACTTTCTACCTAATTTAAGAAATTTTTTTTATTAAAATTATTTAATTTTATACTTTTGAATTGTGTGACATTTTGAATTTCTTACAAATTGATAGATGAATACATAAAGTGGTTGAAACATATTTTATAATGAAGCAATATATTAAATACAATAAGCATAAATTTTTCATCAAAACCAATCCGATAGAACTCCAAATTCTTTAATATTTAGATCTAAATTTACATTTTTAAAACCCAATTCAAATTCATGAAATCAGATTCAAATCGTTTTATTAAACAAATCAGATCTAAAACTACTATAATTCGATTCAATCGGTTGACAACCTTAATTACATCACTAAATATGTTAAGATTCACATTTCATAATTTGAAAACATTTTCTAATTCTAACAAATATTACATCACTTGGGAAATATAAGAAATTTAAAAACCATAGCATTACCTTTTTTTTTTCTTACCATAAAATCTTGCTACAAGCTAAAGTGCTTATGTTTTCCTTCAGGCTTTAATATATATATATACACCTTTAAGTTTAATTGCTATAGGGTGAGTGTACACTAGTTAAAGAGTTGAAAACATTTGACTTCTGTTTAATTGACCAGATTTTAGCTGTCTATACTGTTTGTTTATTTGCTATAATTATACTTTCAGTACCTCCTTTTTTTTTTTATCTTTAATTGTTGCACTGTTTTATATTTACTCCAAAAAGGGTTAGGGTCTCCATCACACTAGAAACTAGATGATTACTTAGACAAATAGCATATGGATTATCAGCATAAAAAATCAAGATGCATGATACGATACTTTTGTTATACGAAAAAAGAAAAAAAAAGAAAAAGACGTGGCTATCAGTATAAAATAACAAAACAATTGCAAGGCGTCCATCATGCTTGCTAGGCTGCTGCATCCCAACAATTACCAAAAATATTGTTGGCCAATTCAAATGGTAAGATTATTTTATATTATTTCAATTAATTTTTAACCCCAATGTGAAATATAAGAGATTTCATCAAAATTTATTTTATTTTATTATTATTGATGCTCTCTTTTGTTTGAATTAAATAATATATTCTTTTTTTTATGAATTGATCAAGAGAGTTCAGGTTAAGTTTTTATCAATAGTTTAATCTATCTTTTAGTTTGATTTATGATAATGAGTTTGAAATGTAGTTTAATTAAAGAAAAAAATTAACAGAAAATTATACTTAGCATCGTTATTCTTTCAAAAAAAAAAAATAATAAATAAAAATTGCTGATGTGAGAAAATTTAATAATACATAACAAATATTTATTCTAGTACTCTCTGCAATTCTTCTCATGTGATTTTAAATTTTAAGGAATTATTTATTTATCCGTGATCTTACTGAAAATTCCGCAACACTCTCCCATCTAATATCAAGTCACTTGATAACTTTAGAATTTTATATCTACAAACATTCCCATTTTCATTTCCTGATATATATATATATATATGTTCCAATCAAATATTTTATTGATTGATGTGATGTGGATATAATGTTTTTTGCCGGAGAATAGTGAAAATTATCGTTGTTGTAATGGCAATCTGGGCATGGATTTGGTTTATAGGAAAGTGGCATCGGTTAGAATCAGAAGGGATTGATGAGGATCCAGTACTGATAGAGGAACAATACAAGTTGTTGGTCTGAATATACTACTTACCAATCGACACATCTTTGATTTTGCTTTGAAGATCATGTTCTTCTCTTTGCCTTACTTTTGGTACGAGAATATAATCATAAAGAAATATTGATTATCTGAAAAGCTGATTTGTTGGATTTTTGTACTAATGTTGTGTGTTCAGGTTCTGTTTTTGTTAGAATTTGGTTTTGTAGTTTTAAATGGATTGGTTTGTCTTTCATGTATGGAAAGAGTATGAGAGGAAATGCTAAGATATATATATATTTTAAAATTTTTTAGGTTTTGTTAGGTCATTGTTCTGTATTATTATATTCTGTGATTAATGACCATACGAGGATGGTTTGTTTTTCTCTTAATATTCTTCGCTAACGAAACCTTTCAATTTGTCATTCTTTGACCCTTTCAATACCTTCATCATAAGAATGGTCTTTCATCGATCATACGAATCCGTACACTACGTACGTTAATATGGGAATTTTGTACAAAAACAATTTGCTTGTATAAAATTACTTCGTTATATATATATATATATATATATATATATATATATATATAATGTAATTTAAAAAAGAGTCTCAATCAGGTTTAGAGAGATGGTTTACATGGACGAATAAAATAAAAGATTAATTGATTACCAGCAGAAAGTATCAGTACGCGTGATATGATAATTTTCTTATACAAGAAAAAGAAAAAGAAGAAATACAAAGACGTGGATATCACTTCCTATATGAAAATAAGATAATTATCTTTGTTCGGTTAAAATGAAATTCTAGAGTCTATAAGACTAAAACATGAGATCTATGTGCACAAGACATTCTTGAAGCTTGCTAGCATCCCACCACTATAAACGTTGGCCAGCTTACATGACCATAATTATTTTATATTATTTCAAGTAATTTCAAGTCATATGTGAAATAAAAGAGAAGAAAAAAATATTAACTCGAGAGAGTTAGCTTCAGTAGAAGCGACTTTAATCATTTAAATAAATAATTTCAGTTTTGAATATTTATATAAACATAAAATTCTTTAGGTAGTTGTATTCATCTTATCGTTGATCAAATATCGAAAAGTTAATTTGATCTTTTAGGTACGAGAGACTCTAAAAATAGAAAAATAAAAATATTAAATATCAGTATAATTATTCAGAATCCAATGAATCTTTAAGATAGAAAGAAGTCACATGGTAAAGAAATCTGTTTTGAGCTGGGTTTGGATGGAGAGAAATTATACAAGAGTCCTGGAATTCTACGTCAGATAAGGAGGACTCTTCCATTCATTGTGTGCCATGTGTAAATTTATTTCCATGTGAGACAAAAAAAAAAAACCATGGATAAATAAAAGAAGAGAAATAAACCCTTCATCTTCGCCTTCATCCCCTGTCTCTCTCTCTCTCCGGCGGCTTGCCACCCAACTCCTCATTCCTTCGTCGTCTCTCTCTCTCTCTGTGAGTGGCTGTATCAGTAGTATTCTAAAGCTATAATTGGAATCATTTTCAAAAATACATTACAATATTAAAAAATTACATCTTAATTCATTATACGATGATAATGATGAAAATAATAAACAAAATAATTGTATATTTGATCATTTTCTTTAATAATAAAATACATTTGAGTTTTTTTTTAAATTATTCAGGAATAAATATGTTTTGTTGGTTCTACCTACACTGCTAAGTTTCAAAAGGCCTTTAAGAGCATGATTGGTTACACAACTCTCTCAATACAGTTACAGTCTCTCATCTCCTCTACAACCTATAAGTCAAAGGTTGTTCGATGCTCAATGAAATATTTTATAACCTATAAGTCAAAGTTGTTCCATATCCAATGGAACATTTGAGAATGTGAATCAAGTTGCTTAAATTAAGGTAGTTGATTCCATATCAGATCTTGATCAATATAATTTATATGTTGGGATGTATTTGGCTATTGCATTTTAATGAAATTTCTCCGACTTTCAAATAAAAAAAAGTCACCGCTTCAAAAAAAAAAAAACAAAAACAAAGAAAAGGCTCGAAACCCAAACCCAAAAACCACAATCCCTCTCAAAAATTTAACCGTACGCAAAACCGAACCAGTTTGGAGCCCAAACAAAAGCCGTTTTCCCTCCTCAAGAATTCCTTCTGCTTACTTCCTCGTCTTGTATTACTACTTTCATTTTCTTCGCATCTCCTCTCCAATGAAATGGGACATGGAGCTCGAAGAAATAGAAGCGGTGCTAGAAAAAATATGGGATTTACACGACAAATTGAGTGATGCTATTCACTCAATTTCTCGCTCTCACTTCCTCAGCTCTATCAAACCCCTCAAAACCAACAACAAGAAACTCAACAACGAAAGCGATGTTGGGTTTGAAGACAACAACAGCAGAAGCAGCAATCGGGCTTCTGGGTTCGTTTTTGTTAAGGATTTTCGAGTTGATGAGAATGACTTGTCGGCTATTCAAGAGGCTAAGAGTCTTAATTCTATTAGGACTGCTCTTGAGAATCTTGAAGATCAGTTGGAGTTCTTTCATGTGAGTTTTGGTTTTGGGTTTATGGGATTTGTTTCTTTTATCATTTGATTGGTGGGTTTTGTTTGGTTTTGAGGAATTTGTGGGAAATGAAGGGAATTTTTGAAGGATTGTTTTTGGGGTTTTTCTTTTGGTGGGTCTTTTATGGATTTGTTATGATTGGTTGTTGAAATTGTTGGAGGAAGAGAAATTTGAATCTGGGGTGTGACAAAATTGAAAGATTGAGGTTAATTAGGCGCTAATTGTGTGTCTTAGTAGCAGATGGGTTTTTATTTGTTGATTCTCTTGGTATTTAACTTTATTAGAATTCATGATATTATTGTTATTGGAGGTTTAATTTGAGTGATTTCGATTGTTTTGCTTGACGCTCGATTTTGATATTTGCTTTCCTGTTAATTTTGCTTGCATTGGTTGGTATGGTAACCAGAACTAGCTTAATTGTTCTTTGTTCAGATACAACAGTGTTGTTAAGGTTGTTTTGAGATAGTGTGGAGGACCCTTTTGTCTTTGATGATATGTTAAATAGTTAGGACACGAATTGGACACCGCTCTGTGTTCTCTGTTTGTAATGAAGGAGTGAGATCTCTCTGTGTTTTCTGGTGCAGCGATTGTCCTGCAAAAGTGACTCTAGTGGATAGTTATAGGATTGGAATCTTTGAAAACGATGCCAGAAGAACGTAGTGGATCTGTTGAGGTATTGGAGAAGATGTCAGTTTTAATGAGTGAATTGAAGTGATGACTCCAGGAAGATCTGAATGACAAAGGGCTTGTTTGATCAGTGCCTGGTCACTATAATGCTTTTTTTAGTTCATTTGAGTTCATAAATGGTCACTTATGCTATTTAAATTGCTACAATCACAAAACCACAAGATTTGCTAATGTTAGGGATAGCATAGCACCAATTGGTAGTCTTAAAGAGAATTGAGCGAGACACAATTGGCAATGAGACATGATTGACGAAAGTAAACAGCAGTATTTTGGTCCTATAATGAGAAGAATGTTTGGGACAGTGCTTTTGTTGAGTTGTTGTAGGTGCCAATTGATGCTCTGTGAACTATATTGGTCTTTGTTTTTTATGCTGCAATTTATGTTTGTGGAACTCTTTGCTTTGTACTTCCAATTTATGCATCATTGGATATTTATGCCATTTCTTCTGTTATGCAGACTGTACAAATACATCAACGGGCTGAGAGAGACGCTGCAATTGCTCGATTAGAACAAAGTAGGATCATTCTGGCAATGAGATTGGCTGAACACCATGGTAAGAAGTACCAAGTACTTGAAGAAGCATTGGCTTTTGTTGGGGATGTACATGATTCCAGCCGCTTTGTGTGCCCTGAAAACCTTTATGGTTTGCCTAAAAGTCCGTCAGGTGAGAACCTGGTTCGGCATGAAGAGAAGAGGCCAAACACAGTGATCAAAGTTCTTCTTTCGAGTTTTGAATTCGCAAAGAAATCCCTCCAGTTGGATCACGTGGGTGGCATATTGGGCAATGCAGCTTTATTCACAGTTAGCATGATTGCGATGCTCCATCTGCATCAGGTAGCCCAAAAGGACCATCCATACAAGCAAGAAGATCTTCTCTACAGCAATAGAAATGGGAAGAAAGCTTCTGGGCCAGAAGGATCTTCACCCAATGGTAGTTTGAACCACTTGGATGTGATGTTAGCAAGGGGTTGAAGTAAAATCCTGAAATGTTTCTTGCAGCTGGTTAAATGGAGGAAGCTATACTGTTGTAATGATTGAAGAATCTTTGTTGTTTATGCGGATTTCTTTGCTACTAATATCTGGAGATGTTGAGAAAGGAGCTAGCATGATCCAGTGCCAATTATAGATTGCTATAGAGTTGTTGGAACTGTTGTTGAGTTGCAGATCCTTGTTGAGTAGAAGGTTTTTTTGTTGGTTGCTGATAGTACTGGTAGTTTTCTCGTTGATAAGCTTTTTGTTTTGATTGTGTATATCCTAATATCTAACCGAGTTTATCTTGCAAGTGGATGCCATCCAAGTTTTTCTGATGTGAATTCCTATCTTTTCATTGTTGCTTCCGTTTCTCTTTTCTCCCTCGTCAAAATGTAGTGTATACAGATATTTCAAATGCTTTCTCTATTACAGTTTTCTACTGTGGCAACTATTTCTAGGGTTGGTCTCTGTTACAGCAAATTCGAGCGTTAGTGCTATGTGGTTCCCTTTTTGGTTAACCTAACAGGCATTTTTTGTAGCCTGTCTGTAATTCTGATCTCATCTTTCTCAAGTTTGAAGTGGAAATTCCGTAGTTCCAAGTTTTAAACCACTCTAGTATCCGGATTGGGAACAGATAGTTATGTTCGGGTTGCTGCTAGCAAGTTTAGATAGAACTAATTGGCTGCTTGTGCTATGAAAAAATTAAAATTAATTTGATAGCTTGTACTGTATCGAAGGTTTGCTAAAATATATTGAATTAAAAGTAAAATAATCATCTAATTTTATAATTTATTCTTCTTTATGTTTTTCATAAATTTTATAATTAAAAAAATGATTTGTTATTTTTTCTGTATTGATTTTTAAATAAGAACTTGTAATAAATTTAAATAGAATATTTAATTCAAAATTTTAAAAATGCCTTATTACTTTTTTAGATAAGATTGTATAGAAAAAATAAAGCAATAATTAATAATAATAAAAAAACTTGTATAAAAATTAACAAATAAAGATTTTTTTGTTTTATTTAATTCTGATGAGAAAATTATCTTTTAAAGAAAATATTTACACTTGATTTATATATATTTATTCACAAAATAATCAATCATATTAGTATAAAAATTATATTTGAATCATTTGATGGTTCTCCTAAAATATTATTTTAATTATTTTATTTCAAAGAAATTGATTTTAGAATGTTAAAAATATTGCAAGGAACATATTAAAGTTAATAGACTGAAATAAAAAAATACAAAATTAATTTCGATAAATTTTAGTTATATAAAGAAGAAGCAAATAAAACACGTGAATTTTATTTTTTAATCGATTTTTTTTTTAAAAAAGGTTTGAGAAAAATTCTCTAAATATACTTTTAGTTTTTTAACACTCTTATTTAAAAATCATAAGAATTTATCATATGAATTATATAAAAAAGATTCAATAATGATATTTTAAAATTTTATTCAAAAATATATGCATAGGGAAAAATAAATCATATTTATCAACGAATAAAATGATATGAAAATATAAAATTTCATTAGAATTTCCATAAAAAACAACAAATCGAAAAAATCAATTTTAAACAATAAGAGTAATATATATATATATATATATATGTTTATTAAAAGAAAAAAATAATTATATTCTAACTAAAATTTTATTCAAAAATTCATATATAGAAAAAAATAAATCATATTTATTAAGAAACAAAATTATATAAAAAAGTAAAAAATTAATTTTATGAGAATTTTCATAAGAAATTAAAAAAATAATAATTTCGGACAATAAAAGTAATATAATTCGATAAATGTGTTCATTTTACATTCCGAAAACATATCATATATATTTCATTACCATTAGTCCGTGTAAAAAAGAAAAAAATAACGATTGATTTTCTATAATTTTTGCACCTAATTCAATAATAATTTTAAAAAAGCTTTTTAAAAAAAAAACCAAAGCAAAAAATTGAAAAGCATTTCAATGCATACACTATAAGAAAATCTACCAATTAGCGATGGATAATTTTGTCACTAATTGTTGCAAATCCGTCACAATAGTACATTAGCGATGGACTTGCGATGGAAAAAATTCCGTAGCCAAAACGAGTGTTACTAACCCTTGTGATGGATTTAATGGTGTTCATTGATAAAAAATTATTCCCATCGCTAAATGACAACATAAGCACCTTAAGAACCATCGCCAACCTATCGTAAAATCGCAAGCAATCTATCGTTAATTAATGAAGAAAAACCTATCGTTTGCTTTCAAAGCTAATATCCATCACTAGTCCGTCTCTATTTTGGTCACTATTCGGACGTTATTTTGTGATGGAATTATTTTTTGTCGTTGTTTTTTCAATTGAATTTAATTTATGGTTTTCAAATTTGTTGTTAATTCATATGTATTGCGTCGCTATTCCATTGTAATTTGGTTGCTAGTTCCGTTGCAAATATTTTTTTATTTTCTTTAATTTTTTAATTTTTTTTAATTTCAAAAAAATTTGATATTCTCTATATTAACTTATAATTAAAACAAACAACTTTTTATAAAAAATGATTATTGTATTAAAATTAAAGTATTACAAATTAAAATAAACTTTATATTTTAAAAAATATTCGTTACCACCTACGAAAAAAATTAAAAACATAAAAGAAAAAGTAAAGTCACCACATAACATGTAATCTCCTCTCATCTTTCCGGGGCTCGGTGGGAGAGACGATGGTGCCCAGGGGTTTGTTGGGAGGGAATATGGAGTCGTCATTGGTGGAGGGGTCGATAAACAAGGGAGTTAGTTGTGCCATCCTATCAAACGTCAATAAAATCGAATCCATCTTAGCCTTCATCCCTTGGATCTTCATCTACTATTGCGTGATAATGTTGTTCCGCTCTTGTAACTTCTCCTACAATGCCCTCATTGTCTCTTCGTATTGAGATGGAGGCTATTTAGTAGCATTGGGGCGATGAAACTACGATGCTACGGAGGAGCAACTGATGCTAGCCGATTGGGATAAATAGTGTTCGCCTTTGACCTAATCTCATAAAGCCTCTTCTTCTTCTTCTCTCCTCCTATAGCATCGAAGTATATGGCGTTTGTGTCAACCCGTGGCTTCTCAATTCTAGCCTCTCGTTGCTTCCTTATAAATACTCGTATCATCTCCTCCATAAGCTCCTACATAATAAAAATAATTTTAATGTTAATACAAAATTAAAATAAGTTTTTAGATTATATTTTCATATGTATAGTATAAAAATGAAAATAAACTTGCCATTGTAGATTGGGTGCATAAATCGATAAAATTTTTGTCTCTCCATTTGTGAGTGATCCTAAACAACTCGAATTTACCAAGCGACGGGCATGCTCAAAGGTAGATGTGGACCTTCATGTATGCTTGGATGGTCCTGGAACTAGGACCATTGATCTTCGAAATCTGATTACGCAATGCCTGTTGAGAATGAGACCGACAATCAGTGTGGAAAAATCTTGCTTCCATGAATGCCATACCTCTTGTCTAACAAAAAAAGGCCTTTCGTCATGCGTACCATGCTTGTGGATGAAGTTAGAGTAGCGCCTTCTAGCCAAAGCCTCCCAAGCATCTCTAACTCGTGTCTTGATGGTTGATTCCTAGTAAAAATACTTCTACATGAATAAAAAAAGTAATATTAGTTCATTTTATGTTAAATTAATAATTTAAATGAAATACAAATAAATAAGTAATACATTATCTTAAACTCATTATAATAGAACTATTTCATCGGCTTCGAAATGGACTTCCACGCCGAGCCATTAACGTCCAACTCGCTCATTGAAAATAATAATTATCCTTTTAGAGCAATCTCTCTAACACGTTACGAAACTATCGAAAACAAAAAAAAAATTTAATAATTATTGACACAATATATTAAAATTTTAAAAAACAAGGTTTAAAGTAAATTACTTATTAATAATTAATGATAGAAATCGATTGTCGAATATCGAAGCCTCGAGTGATCCCCGGACCGATAGATACATCGGCGAATGACGGACTTCTAAGGGAGGCCGAGGAAATTTGACGGCCACGTGAGCATGATGAACGAGTATTGAATAGAGACATCAAAACCGATGCAAAATTGCTAGTTTCGATGGAGGAATAAGTTGAACGTCTCGTGTCGTTGGACCCACAAAAGGTGCTTGAAGATGGAGAACCACGATTGATGTTAGATGAAGAACCATGCCCACTGCCTTCAAGTGGGGATGCACCTCCACGACTATCCGATCATGATCCTCGAGGGGGTGTGAGAGGTTGATGCGAACCATGCATCATAACTTAATAATATCACTTAAGACAATTAAACAAAATACAACAAATATATTATCAATTGTGAGCATAAGAAAAAACAATTTTGAAAACGTCTTTAGAAAATTGGATATTTTCTAATTACTTGATACGCAACCTCGTTTAAAACACAATACAACTAACAGTTTGAAAATATATGAAAGTCAATATGATATATTGTAACAAATTAAATAACAAAAGAATACACAATTTCTTACTAATACAACTAATAAAATTAATATTTAATTACTACCATCGTAATTCCAGTTTAAGTTTTCATCTCTCTCATCCGATATAGATTCATATTCATTATCATCTTGTGTATGACTATTTTCAAATTGCTCAATTCTTTTTAAACAATTAGTCTAATTTATTTGTTTAAAACTCTCTATTCGTCACAAATCTCAAAAGTTAGAAGTGATGTATCGATTACTAATTAGTAGTTTTATAATAGAAAGTTTTAAATAAAAAATCTCAAAAAAATAAAAAATAAAAAATCTTAATTAAAAAAATTCAAAGAATACAAAGTTCAAATTTAGGAAAAATTCTAATTTCAATATGAAGAAACGAAGATCACCAATTCATCTTCTGATGTTCATCCCAATCAAACCTTATGAAATGATCATTTATTTTTCTTTATTATATCAGCTTTGGGTAGCTTAATTTGTGATGATATATTGCAGGTTGAAATAGTGAAGAATAATGAAAAAGCAAGAAAGGAGTTTGTAGAGAAAATTGGTGAGGAGGTCTTACCCAAAGAGTTTGGTGGTCGAGCACAACTTGTACTTCTGCAGGATGTTATAGTGCCCGACAAGTTGAACGATTGATCCCAAAAGGAGTCAAGTTCAGCTAAAGTGTAGAAAAATAAATATTGTTGATTATTAATTACAAAACAGACAACGTTGTTGGAAGTGAAATATTCTTCTGCCAAAAGCTAGAGACTATAACTGTAATCAAGTGTTTTGATCTTCCTATAGGGTGCGTTTTAATTATGTACATGTTCTCGCTCTTATTATCTAATAAAGATTGTGATAAACTTTACTCTGCTAAATATTTATGTTTGTTAAGACTCAACGCATATACAGAATTTTTTTTTCATAAATTTATCCTATTTCAAAACCTTGTCTAGCTAGCTTATATAATTGTACGACTTTCCCAGAAAAACCATTAAAATTGTCCCAACAAGATAGGAGGTGATTCAGTCATCTATTATCCATAGAACAAGCTATTATGCATATATGAGAACAAGATGTCATCATTAAGTAGTCTACAACTGAGCAATTTCTACGTGATATGACCAACCTTAAAAGCTAGGAAGTTTTTGTCTAGGGCCAAACTTTCGATGATCTCTCTTCAAAAAACATTTTTTTTTTTGAAAGCCAGATCTTATAAAAAAAATAACAATTTTTTTTTTTTTTTTGATAATGTGTATATGTAATGAATGTATCTATAAAAATATTTAGTAAAGATGCACATTATTTAATTCTTTTTTTCATTTTTATTTTGTCAACTCCAATGATTTTGTTATAATTTAATTCTCAATTTTTTTTGTATATTATTTCTTTGAAAAAAAATTGAATTCATTTTTTTTTCTAGTTTTGATATTTTATATTGTATTAAATTTGATTTTTATTAATTTTGTTGAATCTATCAAATGAAAACCTCATAAATGATGATGAAGTGCGTGGATCAGTAGAGGATTATATCTTTACTTTGATTAGACTTTACATAAAGTAAGATCAAAAGACTAAATAAAGTTTCTTTTCTTTCCTTGACAAATGTCATAACCAAAATTTTTATTATTTATTTTAGTTGAATTATTTTAGAAGAAAAAAAGAGTAAAAATAAAAATATAAAAAAAGAAAATATATAGAAAATACAAAATTTTCATCAAGGGACACAATTACATCAAAAGACAGTGTAATTGAAGTATTTAGGAGTCCAATTGAGTCAATTAAGAAATTCAATACTTGAATTACTACTCATAGGGATGCAATTGAAAAACATTATTCTTTATATGACTGAAATTAAGCCAAAATAGGTAAGATTGCAGATAATTGAGATTGAAAGGGACCAAAGTAGATGGTTGGAGCGCACGACAGGACTGAAATTTATAAAACGACTTGTCGTTCACTCCAATACATATTTTCACTCCTGATTTCCTCCAAAATTCGATTGAAATTTATCTCAATCCTCTAATCGTTTTTTGAATTCAATCTATTCCGATTGTTTAGCTAATCAAATTCGAAGTTGAATAACGGAAGTTTGAGTTCAACTTGGATGCTAAAAAATTCGAGTTTGAAGGTAGTTGAGTTGGAATGATACTTAGGAAAATTTTATAATACACAAGGAGTAATTAGTGGCATGTACAGTAGCTTACTCATTGTATTCACTATGAGGAGAGAGATAGACACATAAAAAAGAGAGAAATTATATCTATACCCATAAAAAATGATAAGAAGATTTCCACGTCTCGCTCAATTTTTTTTATTTTCTCTCTCCTATTTTTTTCTCTCTTTTTGTGTATCTATCTCTCTCCTCAAAGTGGACCCAGGAATAACAATTATACATGCCACTAGTTACTCCTTGTATATTACTTGAATTAACAGTGCCTATAAATGGGGTCAGAATTCGGGGTTTCAGGGGAGGAAGAAAAGGAGGAAAAGGGAGAGGAGAAATCGAAAACAAAGTAGGACATTTCTAGGCGGTTATCAGTGAATTTGACTTGATTCTTCTGGGGAATTCTTGGTTTTTTCTTCCTGGGTAGCTCGGTAGTGTCCTTTAGGCCCTTAAATTCTAGGCAATGCTTCTTCGTTTAGAGAATATTCTGTGCAGAGAAAAAGAATTCTGGATAAAGCAAAAGAATTTGGGGTTTAGAGAGAGTAAAAATCAATAAAAAGGGTAGAAAAATCGAAAGACTTTGGAGGGTCAGTTGCTGCAATTTCTGGGCAGCTTTCTTCATGTTCATGTTTTCTCGGTTTTGGTTCATCTCTTTTAGGTTTCTGTAATTTTTTTGTTTTTTTTTTGGGTTTACTTTCAATCATAACAAGTTCCTTAACCTCATTGTCGGGGTTTGGAGGCTTGATTTTGGATTCTCTGGGTTTTCCTCCATAAAATTTCTGGGCAGCCACTTGGTGTTCTTTTTTCTGGGTTGCTGCTTGAATTTCTGGGTAGTGATGGACTTTGGTGGTTTTTTTTAGTTTGCAATTTCTGGGTTTTGACTTCAATTCCTTGTTTTCATTCAAGACCTTTGGATTCAGGGAACACCAAAAAACCCCGTTTCTAGAAACATCTAGTTTCATCATTTGGTTACGGAATTCAAAGACACAAACAACCCATTTGTTCTAGCCAACTCATCAAGGCTAAGCAACCTGTCGCAAGCCCACAATCCTCCACCACCCTCCTCATTTTCTAGTCTTAAGCATGCTGCAAGACATTCAGAAGCACCAGACCCAACAACGAAAACTCAATCACTGAGTCACGGTTTTTCAGTTCCTTGCAAAATCAACATTAGCAACAAGGTCCAAGAAGAATTAGCTTCCATTCCTTCGGTATTGCTCAGCTTCTCTCTGCAAAATCAACAGTGACAACAACACCATGTGGAGCATCCTCATTCAAAACCAATCAAACCTGCAAAATTGACAGCAATGACAAATTAAGAAATTGGGAGGTAGCTAGATTTGACATATAGGAAGAACGAAAGACGGGAATAATAGGAACGGGAAAGAGAGGGAGGGAACCAGAACTTGGTTTTGATCTAGGAGGGGGAGAAACATTTTCAACTGTTGTTGGTGGACTTAGTCCACCCCTCATAGAAAAGAACAGGTTGGGATTAGCCCAACCCGTACTGAATGAAAGGCTGGGCTGGTTTCATGTCCAGCCTAGATAGGTAACAAATTGAAGGCCGCGAATAGAAGTTGGAGTTTGTCCAGCTTCTACCCACCCGAGAAAATAAAATAAAAAATAAAAAAATGCTACAATAATAGGAATGAAAACATGAGAGCTGGAAGTAGTCAAGGAAGAAAATAAAAAGAAAAGAAAAAGAAATTGGTAATAAAGCATGAGCCAATGGGTCTGGGCCCAAAAAGACATCTTCTAATATTTTGATTTTATTTTTCTTTATACTCTGTGTATTTTTATTCTTCGTTATATTTTTTGCTTTAATTTGGGTTCAATATTTTAGGCATTGTTTTGGAATTTATTTAACTAACTTTAAAATTTTAGAATGTGTTTTTTGGTAATAGAATAAAATAATAAATCATAAAAATTTTAAACGAAGTCTTCTATTTGATAGGGATTGTCGTTTAAAAAAATAAGAATAATAAAATTCTCAATGAAGTCTCCTTTTGATAGGGATCTGTCGTTTCATGACGAGGTCTCCTATTTGATAGAGACCGTTGTTACCAAAAATCATCATTTAATAATTAAGATATTCTCCTACACATCGGTTGTGTTAAGGTTTAAAATGGATCCAATGTTTGAACCGATGTGTCACTTGACGGAAGGGATCGACGATCGTTTCAATATGATGCCACACCCAAAACTAAAAAACTTAATTTGGCTTTAAAAATTGAAGTTTAAAATCGAAAAATAATTGACACAAATAAAACATTTTAGGTGATACATTTAGGATTAAATTAGACATGGTATCTTTCTTCGGAAATGAGACTTTTGGGTGAATAAATATCTTTCCAAAAGTATAACCAACTACTTACCATAAAATCTCCGAACCAAGTACTACTTTTATATTTTTAGTTCCTTAATATTAGGTGGAGACTTTAAATTTGTAAATAATTCGATAAAATAATAATTAATATTTATTCTTTTTTTTTTTTTTGGGAGTCCCGTCCGACATCGAATAGTTACAACATAAATGAATGTGTTTGATCCGATTTTTCCTTAAGAAGAATAGATTTCTTTTTTTATATATAATATCCTGGTTATTTGGGATCTAATGATTTCTATCCTTTCATGCTATTTATAATAATAGCTAATCAACAATCTAACACATGTTAGATTCCATGTCGGCCACTTCAAACCAAAGTAGCAGGAAACTAATCAGCTCTCCCCGTCTGCGACATACAGTCTACGTCCATGCTCTTAAAAAAGTAAAAAAAGTAGTCTTCTTTTCCTTATTATACCAGATTCTGGAGATTTGCTGCTTTTTCTCTACGCTACATCTAACCCCAGAAAAATGTTCTATAAATTAAAAAGGTTGACAACCCTTCTTGTTTAACCTCTACCTTAACTCAAAGCAAGCTTTACTGTCGTTGCCAAATGAATAAAAAGGAAGAAATTGCACTTGACCGGATGAGAAAATCAGTTCAAAAGCTTGGTGGTTCTACTGAGGTATATATGCCTTCCACACAACATGCACCGCGATATCCATTATAGAAGCGTAAATTTGCGCCTTATTTATTTGAGTTGAGGTTTGAGTCTTTGTTCACTTGGTGGTTTTATTGGCAGAGGTATAGGGACCCGACATTGGCAAGGTTTTTGAAGGCAAGAACAATGGACTCAGAAAAGGCAGCAAAAATGTTTGTGCAGTGGCAGACATGGAGGGCTAGTTTTGTACCAAATGGGTTTATTCCTGAATCTCAAATTCCTGATGAATTGGAAGCAAGAAAGGCCTATTTGCAAGGTTTATCAAAAGATGGTTATCCTGTTTTAATTTTCAAGGGAAGTAGGCATTTTCCCTGCAAGGATCACCTTCAATGCAAAAGTATATATCCAAAATTTCCATATCATTTAAGTAATTTTTTTTTCTTTTTCACTCCCATGCATGTGACATTAGCTGACAAGAAATTTGATTCATCTACTGTTTTCCTCTTGGTGCAGGGTTTGTGGTATATATGTTAGACAAAGCTATTGCAAGGTAAAGTTGGTAAACCATAACACTTCCAATTAATGCTGAATGTATTATTTCCATTTTTCAAGCAGATATTTCCTGATAACAGGAAAATGCTATTCTTCATCATGTAATAATTTCATGCTATTGAGTGCTTTTAATTTTCCTCCGATCTTCATCCTAACTTGTTCATGATTTGCACACCCTGAAACCTGATTCTCCCCAGTTTTGTAAAGAGTAGGAGTATTGTTTATGCTGTATCAGGGCAATCGAAGGGCAGGAAGTGGGAAATGAGAAGATCATTGTCCTTGTTGATCTACGGCAACTAACATATAAGAACTTTGATCCACGTGGATTAGTCAATGCTGTAAAATTTCTGCAGGTAATTTTCCTAATGTGTTTCTTCCTTTGATTTTTTTTTCTTTACAAAAAAATAGGGAAACTTCATTGATGTGATGAAGGGAGAAAAGGAACATTGTAAATAAATGTATTGGACAAAAGCATTTACATGTTACCTTTACCTTTTTGTATTATTCTTGGTTCCATCATTTAAACCTCAAATTTGTACATAACCTTTTATCCAATTCTTAATTTTATTCCTAACATAGTAAATAAAATATTCGTTGCTTTATTACAAAATTGGGTCCCTCAAGTGTTAAACATTTCTCAGATGGACCCATATTTCTCAATATCAGTTGATGTTTTTTATGTAATGTGTATATTTCATGGTATAAGAACATGTCAGTCGGAATAAATAAACATTGGAAAACATGGATAGAAGGATCTCATTGAGAAATGTCTAAAACATCCTGTATCTAATTAATAAATTTTTAATTCAATTACCATTAGTATATATCTTCCGTAAAATTGTCTTCAAAGTGGCATATGTTAGTTTTGTTGCATAAGGTGTTCATGTATGGTGAAAATCTCGGAAAAATGATTCAATTGACAAATATGGTTTGAAAATATCAGGGATAGGGACTCAGTTGATTTAAGTTTTTGTATTGGGATGAAACTGAGAATTGGGTTATAGTGTAGGATCAAAATTAAGTTTACGTTTAAAACCAAGTATTACGTACTACTAGCTAAACTTATTTTATGGTCATTACTCATTACTTATTCTGAATTTTGAAGATCCTATTTTTAATATTTTCAGGTAATTTTACTCGCATATTTTGAAAATTCCAAGTGATTTTGGTATAGAGGAAGATTATTAGCTCAATCCTTATCAAATAATAATTAGGAAAAAAAAAACACAGACTATATATGATGTGTTAAAGAATTGTGTTTTGCTTCTTTTCATGTTTCCAAATACCTTCAATTTAATTAGTATAAGAAAGATATTTACATCATCTGCGACTCCCATGATTCATGCAGGATTACTATCCTGAACGTGTAGCAAAGTTGTACATGCTATACATGCCACGGTTCTTTCAAAGTGTTTGGAAAATGGTTTGTTACTACCTTGAGAAAGGATTAAGAGAAAAGGTATGTTAATTATTTATTTATTTATTTTTTCGGTCATTGGCCATCCCAATATTTATGTGATGTAATACAGTCTTATATATATATATATGTGTGTGTGTATATTTAAATTGCATAATTCTTATTAAAGAATTAGTCTTATTTATTTCATCGAAACTCTCTATTTTTTAATATTTTTTGCTTTAAATCTTTTGTTATAATGAGATCAATATATGAGATTTTAAAGTAAAAAAATTTCAAAAAGTAGAAGTGATGTATTGATCATTAATTAGGAATTTTATAATAGAAAGTTTAAAATAAAAAATCTCAAAAAATAAAAAATCTTAATTAAAAAAAATTCAAAGAATATACATTTCAAATTCTAATTTCAATTTGAAGAAACGTAGGTCACCAATTCATGTTTTGATGTTCATCTCAATCAAACCTTATGACATGATCGTTTATTTTTGTTTGTTATATCAACTTTGGGTAGCTTAATTTGTGATGATAAATTGCAGGTTGAAATAGTGAAGAATAATGAAAAAGAAAGAAACGAATTTGTCAAGAAAATTGGTGAGGAGGTCTTACCCAAAGAGTTTGGTGGTCGAGCACAACTTGTACCTCTGCAGGATGTTACAGTGCCCGGCCAGTTGAACTGTTGATCCCACAAGGAGTCAAGTTCAGCTAAACCGTAGAAAAATAAATGTTGGTGATTATTAATTACAAAATAAACAACATTGTTGGAAGTGAAATATTCTTCTGCCAAAAGCAAGACACTAAAACTATAATCAAGTTTTTGGATATTTCTTTAGTGTGTGTATTAATGATGCATCCTTGCTCCTATTATGTAATAAAGATTGTGACAAACTTTACTCTGCTAAATATTTATGTGCTTTGGCAATGAGTAACACCTTTTTAAAGATTCGACACATACACATGAAGTATTTTAAATACGATAGAGCAATTTGTTTTCTTAATAAACTTATCCTACTTCTAAACCATGTCTAGCTTGTATCATTGCATGACTTTCCCATAAAAAACCACTAAAATTGTGCCAACAAGATAGGAGATGATTCCGTCATCTATTATTTATAGAACAAGCTATTATGCATATATAAGAATAAGAATAAGATGTCATCATTGAGACCAATCCTATTAGCCTTGACTTATAGATAGATTTAGCTGTTAAGATATGAGATGGTTTGGATATTTACTAGAATTTCTTTTTTTTTTAAAAAAAAAATCTTATATTTTTTTAATCTTGCACTCGCTGTTGTGCTAGACACATGCGGTGAAGACAACCATTCAGAAATTTTTTTACATATATAAGGACTCGAACTCAAAACCATTTGCTTAAACGACTAAAGCTCTTTCCACTTAAGCAATCTTTTTGGATATATATACATTTTTTCTTTTTGAAAGCCAAATATTATATAAAAAAATAATTCTTTTTTTATATTATGTATATGTAATGAAATGTACTTATCTATAAAAATATTCAGTAAACATGAACATTATTTCAATTCTTTTTTTCATTTTCATTTGTTATCATTTTCGTTCAATCTATGTCTCATTTCTTTTGTTCACTAAAGCATAAACACATCTATTTCATATTGCTTTTCCTTTTCAGAAAGAACTATGGTTATATATATATACATATAAAATATTCAGGTGTACTACCCCAGTCATTAACTAATTAATTGAGTTTCTTATTTTGCTTTGTGCGTGGGCTTAGAATATGCTTTGCTTCAATGCAACGACTATCTGATGAAAAGCAACAAGCCTTAATCTTGTGTTACATTTGCAATATTTGACTAGCCAAGACCCTGACAATCGCCATTCACAAACGTCTGTTGTCGGAGAACTGAAACAATTGAATTTCCCTTCTTCTTTTTTTCCTATTAAAAGATGACTGAATTTGCCTTCAACATAGCTGAAAAAGTTTTGGACAAGTTAGGCCCCTTGGCTTATGGGGAGATTTCGTTGGCATATGGTATTGAAGATGAGCTAGAGAAGCTTAAGTGCACTATGCGCAACATTAAAGTTGTGCTCCTGGATGCGGAGGAGAAGCAGTCAAATTCACAAGAGCTAAGACTTTGGCTAGAGCAACTTAAGGATGTCTTTTATGATGCAGAAGATGTTCTTGATGAATTCGAAGTTGAAAATTTGAGGAGGCAAGTCATTAACCATGGGAACTTATACATGAGAAAGGTTTGTGCATTTTACAGCCATAAATTCTCTTTTGCTGGTTTCTTTGCTTTGCACTTTAATCAATATATATTGTTCCAAACTAGAACCTTATAGCAACTTATAATTCGACATTAAACTTTATTTCTTGCTAGTTTTTAATTTCAATAGATTTAGATGTCTAATTTGATCTTCCTTCCCTCTTTTTTCCATCTCATAAACAAACATGGGAAAACTAGGAAACTTTTAGACTGTTGGCAAGTCAGAGTTTACTTATCTAGTAATATGTTACATTAACCAATTGCAAAGATGATGAAATCAGGAATCGCTTTTAGATTTTAATGGCAACTTCGTTTTGTATAATCTAAGCTATACAGATTGAATGAGCTGGTCAGTAACATCAGAGGGATGAGAGCTAACTGCATTGAAAATTCTGGCATTCTTTTCTTTCCATGTAAGGTAGATAACCCCCCACCAAGCAAATCTGAACAAGACTAAAGGAAAGCATTTGTTTTGTAAATTCTTTTTAGCATAATCAAGCTTCTTAACCCAATCACCCCCCTGTCTTGGGATTCTGCACAAATGCACATGGAACACCAAACCTCTTTAGTATATGAGCATGCAAAAAACAAGTGGTTTTCGTCTTCATTCTTCCCATCTTAGCTTGCTTGGTTTTAGCAGAGAGCCTATTCAAAATGGCTAACCAAGCAATAAAACTCTGCCTTGGAACATGCATAGTGTTCCACACAAGCTTAGACTAGTCAATTATTCTACTGTTTTCAAACCTGATTGAGTCCCATAAGCTTCTGCGAGTAAAATTTCCCCCCAGTTGTTGGCTTCCATTATGTTTCATCAGCATTGGCAACAGGAGTAGCAAGGCCACAAATAGCACTCTGAATCGCTACCATATCCTCAGAACTTGGGTTAGGCCAATTCCACTCCCCATTTCTGATTACAGCAGTAACTTCAGCATTAGTGGATGCTCGTTTTGTACATGATTCTTCTGCCAAAATTTTTTGCTAAAAGGCCATATGGATGCTAGCTATCCCACCAAAGAAATTGTCCATTCTCCATTGCCAATCACATGCCCAAAATAATTCCAAACAACAGCCTGGTTTTCTGAATTTTAATTCTGTCTATTTTTTGAATTTTAGGTACTTCGATTCTTTTCATCTTCTAACCCACTTATATTTTGTACAACTATTGGTCGAAAAGTAAAGAAGATGAATGAAAGAATAGATGCCATTGTTGCTGAAAAGGCTAAGTTTTAGCTTGTTGAAAGTAGTGAAGCGAGGCGACCCCGGCATCGACAGAAGAAAACTCACTCATTTGTTCATTCTGCAGACATGATATTTAGAAGAGACGAAGACAAAGAAAAGATCATTCAACTTTTACTACAGTGTAATGATGAAGACAACACTCCAGTGCTTTCGATAGTTGGCATTAGAGGTCTTGGGAAGACGACACTTGCTAAAATGGTCTATAATGATGAAAGGGTGGTTAAGAATTTTGAAATGAAAATATGGGTCTATGTTTCAAGAGATTTTGACATGAAAATATTGCTGGAAAAAATAATTGATTCTGCTACTGGTGCCATAGGATTTGGTGAGGGCAATGGAAAAATGGAAATGGATGACTTGAAAATAGTCTTGTGAGAATCAATAGAAGATAAGAAGTATTTACTTGTCTTAGATGATGTATGGAATGACGACTGTGAAAAATGGGATGAATTGAAAGATTTGTTGACGGTAGGAGCAAGAGGAAGTATTATCATGGCAACTACTTATAGTAATCGGGTTGCTTCATTGATAGGCACTGCACCAACATTTAACTTGCTCGGTCTTCCTCATGATGAATGTTTGTCCCTGTTTATTAAGTACGCATTTCAGAAAGGACAGAGCAACCAATTTCCAAATTTGCTAAAAATTGGAGATGAGATTGTGAAGAAGTGTGGAGGAGTTCCTTTGGCGTGAGGACATTAGCAGGTCAACTCTTTTGGACTACTAATGAATAGGATTGGAATCTGATAAAGGATAGTGGGTTATGGAAAATAGAGCAAAAAGAGAATGATAATCTTGCCTGCTTTAAGAGTAAGTTATGAGCAATTGTCTTCGGACTTGAAAAGGTGCTTTGCTTATTGCTCGTTGTTTCCAAAGAATTATGAGCTGAATGATTATGAGTTAATTCAGTTCTGGATGGCACATGGACTACTTCGATCCTCAGATGGTTGTTCGGAATTGGAAGACATTGGCTTCGTTTACTTGAAAGAGCTAGAGTACGGATGTTTTCTTCAAGATTTTAGAGATCAATATAGAGCACTTCAGTTTGAAATGCACAATGTGATGCACGATCTGGCACTATTAGTCACACAAGATGAATGCTCGGTGGAGACTGGAAGTAGCCAACAAATTGACAAATGTGTCCGGCATTTGTCGATTCCTGACCCTGACTCAATCCATCAAGATTTTCCGACATTGTCAGAAAACTCAGACGGGGTTCGAACTGTCTTCATTCATAGTGTGAAGGATGTGCTTATTGGCAACTCAATCCTCGAAACATGTTTGTCAAGATATAAGTACTTACGAGCATTGAACTTGTCTAGGTCCCAGTTTGAAGAACTGCCAAAGAAAATTGAAAAATTGAAGCATTTAAGATATCTAGATTTATCATGGAATCACAAAATCAAAAGGCTGCCAAGTTCTATTTGCAAGCTACAGAACTTGCAAACTCTGCTTCTTGGTGGATACGATGAAATTGAAGAGTTACCTAGAGGTATGAGGTACATGGAAAGCCTTAGATTCCTATGGATAGCCACAAGACAGACTTTTTTGCCGAACAATGAAATAGGGTGCTTGAAATCTCTTCGCTTTTTGTGGATAGCCACCTGTGAAAATCTACAACATTTGTTTGAAGACTTGGAAAACCTGTCAGGCCTTCGATCATTGTACATCATTACCTGTCAAAGCTTGGTCTCTTTGCCACCAACTATGAAGCATCTAACTGCATTGCAGGATCTTAACATTAGCGGTTGTGAGATTCTTCATTTCGACGATCAAGACTCTTGCGAGTTTCGACTTCAAAAACTGGTATTGTGTTTTTTAGCAGCGGTGGAAGAATTACCAGAATGGCTCATTAAAGGATCTGCAGAAACTTTGAAGAATTTGAAACTTGAATTTTGTCCAGCCCTCAATGAATTGCCAGCTTCTCTGCAGAATTTTTCCTCACTACAAGAACTTCAGATTTTAAGTTGTCCTCAATTGGTCGAAAAATATGAACCAGAAACCGATGATGATTGGTACAAGATTGCTCATATCCCGAAAGTTATTGTCGACAATGTTGATATTAAAACTGCACAAACTTCGGTATTGATCTTTATTCAATGATTTCCTTTTCATTCTCTTATTGTTTTTCTAATTCCTTAAATGAAGCTATGTGTATATACATATATATAATTTTTGGTGATGAAAATTAATCATAGCTGTGGGTGTCTTTTGATTAACAGTTGCTGTAAGAGTTGTCTCAACTGTCTACATAAGAGCTTCACCAACTTCTGGTAATATTTTAATTATCTTCTTAAAGTTTAACTTAATCAACATTATAATAACCTCAGCTTTGATTTTATGCTTCCATTGCAACTTTTTTCTTTCTATGATTCAAATTTAGACTTTTCTTTTCTTTGAACTAAAATCTTTTGACGTTTTGTTTCATTTTTCTTGCATGTTTCTTTTTCTTTTATAATATGACCGTAGATTTATTGTTGTCATTGTTTGACTATGCTTTTGCGCAACCTATTCAATAAATTCCCACGGACAACATGAATCAAACATGCTTGGGTATCGGCTAGGAGTGATCCAATATTTATCTAATTTAAATAATGATGAATTTATTCTCGATTGATGTGAAAACTGATCCTACAATACTTCACTATTTGTAATTATAAGGGGAAAAAAAACCATGAGTGCCTTATACCCTGAAATGCTTGAAATAAGTAACTATACGAGGAAATGGTTTTTTAAGTACCTGATATTAGGACAACGAATTTTCCTTTTTGGTCCATAAGATGATATGTTTAATTAGGTGAAACTTTTCTAAACATCATCTCATCTGAAGTTCTTTTGTTTTCTGGACCATTGCAGGTATTATGTGTGGTTTCCAGCTTGATGTTTGCATCGGTATTGGAATTTCTCAAGCTAATTTAGATTCGGATTTGTGCTTTGTTTCATTGTTATTAGCTTGTATTGCGAATGTCAGTGTCATGGTGGTCTGTAAAAATTGAACTTGAGGAATATTGGTGCGTGAGATTGTAATATATATATATACACACACTTTGATAATGGTGTGTAAGAATATTTTTATGCTTGTTCAGAGATCTAAATCATGTTGAAATTATTTGGGGAACCTAGTTCACCACTTGAGACTATAGATCGATCTATGATAAGAAAACATATCATTTTGTATAGTCAGATCATCAATTTTAAAACGAGCAAACAATAACTATAGCTATTAAAAATTAGAGAATTTGTATTAAGTGGATAAAGAAACTAGATTCACCTAATACAAGTTTCTTCAGAATTAATGCTTTGCTTTTGTACCACCAGGAAATAAGAAAAACGAAAACTCATGTCTCTATTTTCTTTTAACAGCTAAACATCAAACATTGTTCTATTTTATATATTTTTGATCAAATCAAACCTCATTAAATTGGGTTATATATAATTAAATAACAATTAGATCAAATTAAGTTGATTCATGTTGGGTCGTTTCGGATTCGAGTTATTTTAGATTTTTGTAAATCTATGTATGGGGTTCAAAAGAAAAATTAGGCCAATTCATGGGTTAAGAAGTGTTTAATGGTTACTAGTTTGACAAAAAAAAAAGTGAAAGTTATATATATATATATATATATATATATATTCGAGTTATTTTATATTTTTGTAAATCTATGGGGTTCAAAAGAAAAATTAGGCCAATTCACGGGTTAAGAAGTGTTTAACGGTGACCAGTTTTAGCCCAAAAAAAAAAAGTGAAAGTTATATATATATAAAAGGTATTTTATTCCGTTCTTTTATGAAAATATGAAATCTAGAGTTTTTTTTTTAATATAAAGAGGAGAAATTAAGTTCATGAAAACATTTTTAATATTTCAAGAATATCCATTATTCCGTATTATTACTACATACTCCACCATCCATTTAAATTGAATCACATATATTAATGAACAAATAATTCTGTATTTTACTTAGTGATTAGGTAAGTATAAGTGACACTTGTGTCATTAAAATATGTCCAATGGTATATAATAGCTCAAATTATAACATTCGATAACATTCGATCTTTAAAAAAAAAAATCATCCTTTTCCATATTTTCTTACTGTATATCTAACATTCATAATTACCAAAAAAACTAAAAAATTTAGAATTACCACTATTCATTTACTTTACTGTAGTAATGTTTTTTTTTTTTACCCTGTATTGAACGGCCTAGGTTGCTTGGCGCATGGGCCTGTCCTAGCAGCGCCTGGCCCTCTTTTATTTTTTTGGCAGCTGGCGCCTGACTCTCTCTCTCTCTCTCTCTCTCTCTCTCTCTCTCTCATATATATATATATATATATATATAGGAAAGGGAAAAAAGAGAGGCCAAGCTCGCTCTTGGTTGCCTGTGCAAGCTTCGCCTTTTTTTTTCCTCCTTCTTCTTCTTCTTCTTCTTATATATATATATATATATATATATATGTGTGTGTGTGTGTGTGTGTGTATGTGTGTATTATTATGAAATTAGGTATAAAAAATATAAAAAATAAATCGTTATTTTTTTTATTTTTACGTACAGATTTGAAAATGATAAAATATATATGATATTTTTTAAAATTTTAGTTTGAACATATATTTGTGATTATATTACTCTTACTATTTAAAATTTATTTATTCAATTATTTATTTTTTATTAAAATTATTATAAAATTAATTTTTTTGATATAATTTTATTTGTTAATAAATTTTACTTTTTAATATATGAATTTTGGAATAAAATTTTAGAATGTCGATGTTTTATTTTTTAAAAATATATTATTATACTTTATACAATAAATTATTTTTATGCTTTTTAAATGAATTTTTTTAAAAAATATATTATTATAATTTATAAATTATGATTATATATATATATATGAGAGAGAGAGAGAGAGAGCCGAGAATATTTTTTAGATAGTTTGGCTCATTTTTTTTAAAAAAAATTAACAATCAATTAAAAAATTCATGTGTTATATATATATATATATATATATATATATATATATATATATATATATATATATATATATATATTCATAATTTATCGATTTTGTTGTAGTTTTTATTTTAATCTATTGACTTTAATATATTTCATACAATTTAGCGAGCCTAACCTTTTTTCTTCTTCTTCTTTTTTTCATATATATATATATAATCATGAAATTAGGTGTGAAAAATATAAAAAATAAATTGTTATTTTTTTAATTTTACAAACAGTTTGAGGACTATAGAATATATATAATATTTTTTAAGATTTTAGTTTAAACATATATATCTAATTATATTACTCTTATTGTTTAAAATTTATTTCTTTAATTATTTATTTCTTATTAAAATTCTTATCAAATTAATTTTTTGATACAATTTTATTTGTTAATAAATTTGATTTTTTTTAATATATAAATTTTGGAATAAAATTTTAGAACATCGATGCTTTATTTTAAAAAAATATATTATTATAATTTATACAATAAATTATTTTATGCTTTTAAATGAGTGTTTTATTTTTTAATATATATTATTATAATATATATATGGGGGGTGAGGAGAGAGAGAGAGAGCTAAAAGTATGTTTTAGATAGTTTGGCTCATTTTTTTTAAATAATAATCAATTAAAAAATCACAAGTTTTATTTCTTTATATATATATATATATATGGAATTTAGCTTAATCAATTTTGTTGTAGTTTTTATTTAAATCTATTGACTTCAATATATTTCATACAATTTAGGTTTATTTGTCCGTATATTTTTTTATTTATTCTATATACTCTTCTTTTTATATATATTTATTCAGAATTTATTAGAAATAATTTTTTTTGTAGTTTTCATTTTAATCGATTACTTCATTATATTTCATACAATTTATGTCGTTTTATTTTTTTGTATATTTTTCTATTTATTTTATATACTTTGAATCGTTAGGTGTGTGTATATATATATACAGCTTTGTTAGAAATTAACTATGTATCCGCACATATAATACTAATTATTTTTTATTTTATTTTTTTCATATTCTAAAATTTGTTTTTTTAAAAAAATAATTTAGATAATGTTTTGAACGAACCTTCTAATTATTCAAATACAAATTTTTATGCTAATATTATTAAATATTTTGTTAATAAATATTTATAAATCAAACGATTTTGCTCAATATATAGATTCGATTTATATTAATCAACAAAAATAAAATTTTCATTCGTACTACTCTATACGAATCGTTACCTCTACGTATGTAACGATTATTTGACCGCAGAGATAGTGCAAGTATCTAACTAGTAAAGTCTATAAGCTTCAATATCCATGGGAATGAATCATGTAGAACATGTAAATAAGAGCTTTTTCTCTTTACCCATTAGAGTATTAGACAGGAAAAAAAAAAAAAAGAAGTAAACGTAGTGCTTTGATTCATCATTGCTTTATATAATAAATTAGTTGTTTTCTGCACTTTGTGTGCCGGTAATCTTAATTCAGTTTTCAAAAAGTGTATATAATTAACTATAATTAAGAAACTTATGTGTTGAATGCTTTACATAAATTATATGAATATATTAACGTTAGAAAATGAATCAAGTAAGAAGATAGAACAAAAAATTAAAAAAACAATCACATAATACATGATTTGCATAATTTGGCAAATTGTATCTATTCTAAGATTGCACTAGAAGTTTTTATTAAAAAAAAATTAATTGGTGGCTATAAATGCAGAAGACATTATTTCGATTTATGTATAGTATGGACAACTAAATTTATTAAAATTTTAATAGGTCTATCCACTTGGTCCAATACATTAGCATAATAAACAATATTGACTTTGTATAGCATATTAAATTACCTGTCATATTTATATTAGTCTCCATAATTTACTAATCAATTATATATCTGAGGATTTTTTTAGTAAGTACACATGATCAATGTTTAAAAAAAAAAAAATCATCCAATAACACTTTTGCATAAAATTAGTTTATGCTATCACACTTAACTATCTATTAAAAGGTCACAGTGTTATATAAACTTATCTAAACATCAAGATATTATAAGTATTATTCATTATAAAATCTTTTCATTAAACTTGCATAGCAGCCTTCTTTTTCTTTTTTTGTGGTTTTCAATTTTTATTTTTATTTTTATTATTTTTTTATTTTTTGCATATCCGGCCTTTTCATTCAGGGAGAAAAGGAGCAAAAAAAAAAAAAAACCTCGCCGCCACTGTTAATACTATATTTTTGTATCTCTAAAGTTTCATAATGAAATTTGCATATTAGAAAATTTAAATAGATTAACGATGTTAAGTAAGAGTTAAGTATGTGATTTTCTTTTTATATGAAGATTTAATTTGGTTTAAAGTTGAATAAATAAATAAAAAACAATATTTCATGGATATATATTTTTGGATAATTTTGTTTTTTTTTTACAAAAGGTTTTGATAAATTATCCTTTAAAAAAAATGAAATTTATGATGATCAATATCTAAAATTTATCCAAAAGCAAAAGATTCAATATATAAAAATAAATAGATAGGTAAAGCTTTGAATGTACGTAGAAGCGGTAAAATTGTACTGAAAGTTCATATTTATAGATTGCTTTGACTTAGAAAATGGAGTTTATTTCGATAAATTAAAATTGACCTAGGAATGTGGTAATGAATAATTGCGTAACGATGTTTTTTTTTTTTTTAATATATTAGGAGATTTTGATTTGATCGACTTTGTTGTTTTCTAGAGACAGATTGGATCATCTAGATTTCTTCAAAATGCATATGCTCTCAAATTAAGATTGAAACAATATACTTGGTTCATCAAGGTTGCCTAGCTAGCTAGCAATTGAAATATACTATCATCAAAAAACTAATACAGACAAATTAGTTAATTTTTTGTAGGAAAAGCCTGAATTGCTTGTTTACTTCTTAT